TCAATACTAGGACCTCTTCTCTTCTTGATTTATATTAACGATCTTCCTCAACAAATTTAATCTAACTTATTGCTTTTTGCTGATGATGTGAAACTCTAGATAGAGATACGTAATCATAATGATATACTAGTTCTTCAGGAGGATCTGACTCGACTTCAAAGTTGGGCAGACGACAACGGACTTACCTTCAACACTTCAAAGTCCATCTGAGACATGTTGCAGACTATAGTTATAACTTAGGTAACTCACCTCTAGAAGTTTCCCAAGTTGAAAAAGATTTAGGAGTGTTGATACCCTACGACCTGAAATCGTATGCGAACTGTGACAAAAACGCCTCTCAAGCAAACCTTGCACTGGTAACATTGAAGCGCATTTTTGGCCAGTTTGACGGTAGAACCTTACACATAATCTTCAACAGTTTTATTCGTCCCCACTTAGAGTACGGAAACATAGTATTTCCTCCCTCCCTCCAAAAGGATAAGGTCACTCTGGAACGTATACAACGTCGAGCCACGAAATCAGTTCGGGGTCTCAAATTCAAACCTTATGAAGAGCGCCTCAAATCACTTAACCTTTACCCGTTAGAGTATAGGCGTCTTAGAGGTGATCTTCTTATGACTTATAGTATCCTTAATACTTCTGGTCATCCCCTTAAACAACTTCTTAAGCTTAGTCATAACACTAACCTCAGAGGTAACACCCAGAAATTGGAGACCCTACATAGCAGAACAGACTGCAGACACAACTTCTACTCCGTTAGAGTTGTCAAGTGCTGGAATTCGCTGTCGACTGAGCTAGACCAAGCGACCTCCCAGGAGTCCTTTAAGAGGAAACTTGACTTATTCTTAAGGACTAAGGATAACATATTATTATGATTTACCAAACTCTTTTTTCCTCTATTATCGTTCATATACCTAGGTTCTTACCTGGAGGTATTGGTGATCCACTGCTACCAGACACGGAAGCCCGTTAAGCGAAAGCTTCTTCTATTCTGTCCTCAACCATTTGAACCATTTAGACGTCTTAGGCCACTTGATTTACGAACATGGAATCAAATCTGTAGAAGGAAAATCGCAGCCATCAAAACTTTCCTAGGGCCAGATTCATTGAATAAATTTCGACATTTCTAGGGTATGATGGTCTTTTGTTGTTAGCTTATTCCACACTGTTTAACCTTCCTGTGACCTTTGATGGAGGCGTTAGAAAGCAAAGTCCATAACTTCATATTGTCTTTAGAAGAAAGATATGTCCTTTCTTCAGCTTAAACAGCAATCGCTTCCAAATCTATGCTGACCTACTTAAGTCTTGCCCTGAAGGCAGCACTAACATTTGTGTACACACGCTCCTCAGGCAGCAGTAGGTGCAGTACTACAACAACGAGTAAATAACTAGACTAAACCACGTGCTTTCTTTTCAAAGGAACTGGAACTAACTCCAACTCAAGACAGAACTTTAGGTAGGGAATTGATGGCCATTTACTTGGTGGGTAAACATTTTAACCATTTCCTTCAAGGTAGATATTGCATGTTACTCACTGATCACCAAAGATAATATTTGTACCCCTAAAGAGATGCCACGATTAGTTTATGTCCTCCAGTTTTCGATCAACATACAGTTTGTAAGAGTCAAACGTAAAGTTATGGCAGATACGCTAAAACGATCCAAAGTGGGTGCTATTCGTTCCACCGAAAGAATTAGTTTACTGTATGTTGACATGCCGACGATCCTGATCTCGCTGCGTGCAAACAAAATTTAACTTTAATGTTAAAAGTGTTTGGTGAATTTACACGCATTTTTGACATTCGTCACATCATTAAATTAGTATACCATCTAGCAGCAAATAGACCAGTGGAACGATTCCACGGACAACTGAGAAGCTTTCTCACCGTACAGTCCGACGTTGCAACAGCTTCTGCTGATTGGTTGAGTTTATGTGATATAAAGACATTATAGCTCAAGTATTCATTTACTTGCTTGTTTTGTGTAGGCACCACATTTCCTATTATTTTATATTGAATGTTAAAAACTTTGTGTGTTTCAAAACGAGAACTTCTATCCGAAACTGTGGTATCCCCCAATGTCAATAAAGAAATATGTCAACCACTAGTCTGATTTCTTCTATAGATAAAACGAGGGGTATATACGGGTAAGAAAATACAAACCATCAAATGCCTCTGTAGTAACGTGACAGGATGAAGGGGTGAGCTAAAAGTAGTCAGAAACATGTGCTTTTATTTAGATGTGAAGACCAGGCCATAACTGAAACATGACTTTCGCCTGACACTGTAGACGAAGAAATGTGTTTGCAAGGCAGGACAATTTCCAGACACGTTAATGCACACAAGGCAGGATTGGGGGTGTTGACACGCATTAACAGTCACTTCAAAGCCGTACCACGATCTGCTGAATGAATTGAAGTAACAGAATCAGGTGATACTGAAACTGCCATATCTTGGGTTTGACCAAGTAATAATAGCTAAAGATTTCTACTCCCTGTAGGGGTGGCTATTATGTCAAGCCCACATAGGTTGTTCTAGCCTCTGGTCAGATCAATCTATTTATTCTTCTCAAGCCACATTTTTACCCTGTTACTTATTTGCTTATTAATCCTGACTGTTTTTTATGTAATCATGTGTTGCTAATTACTTATTTCACTCATCACGTTGGTATCTTTTTTTGTCTGTCTATAAATGTCGATTTACGTATGGTTAAATCGAGACGGCTCGCTAGCTTTCTCCATTGCGCGTTATCTTGTTTTGCCTCGCCTTCCAATCAACTATCATACAATATATGCGTATTCAAAAACTTCATTCTTGTATTTGACTTATTTTATTCCTTTGTTCACCAATGAGATTGAGGTTGGTGATTATGTATGAGGATCGGCAATATGTATAAGTCGAAAACAAGCAGCAAACAACCTACCTGGTGTCAGGTCTCGAGCCACAAATGCTCCATCCCTAAATCTCAGCTAGGGGGACACAACTCCAACGTTGTGGTTCCATGAGCGACTTCTCACAACCGTCATCATTTCAGGACAGGCTGAACATGGGAGTGCTATCATGAGACATGAGATGGATGGAAAATCCCGAGATATATAATAATAATAATAATATATTTCTGCATTAGCAGGTACACGCCATTTTTACAGAACTGATCTACAATTTACAACATGTACCGGTTCACAGTATGCATCCCAAGCAAGCTTGTTTAGTAATTATAATCTATAAAAGTTGATAGCAGTTCATTCGTTCAGATATAATATGTTTTCATAAGAATAGTTTCCAAAGGGGCATAGCGTCCACGTTATATACCAGATCCAATCTCGACAAAAAGTGTAATAGAGTTTCGGTAGTTCTAAGTATTTATGTAATGCAGCTTTTTAAGTTTATAGTTGTTATAAAGTAGGCTTGTGGAGCGCCTGGTTCGAGCTATGACCTTGGGAAAGCGCTTTCGTCAAGCTTGTTCCAGATGTCAGAAGTTACATAGCTTCACCCTCAGAGCAAGATTCTGAAGAGAAAAAATAAAAGAGAAACCGAGGAGCAGAAAGGCATTTGGATATGAGCGATAATCAATGCTTAACATTTATTAGTGGAACAGATGGAGGTATGATAAATTATTAGATTAAATTGATACTAGCTCATGTTGCAAGAGTAAACTGCGATTAGGGGCTCCAGAAGAGAGAAGGCAGTAATAAAGAACAATGAGTTGTGATATTTATGAAGGTGGAGTAGGTTCCAATGAAGGAGGGAAGTCAAGGTTGGAATGAGGAAGAACAGAGAGTGCATATAGAGAGTAGTGTTAAGTAAAATAGCAACCATATCCTTTACTTACTGATAAATGAACGGCTTCCAGTTAGTGATATATATATATCTAAACACCAATCAGAAGTAGCGACCATGTTCCCTAACTCAGCCACACTAGAGCAGAATAAATAACAATGGGAGAGTATCTTCACCACTTCCCATGGCCACGAGAATAACGAAAGCCAACAGTAGAGGACCACTGGAAAGTAGCGAAGGATGTCATTCGGAACGATATCTCACATAACGTAACTCAAGTTAATGACAAAACCGAAAAGAGAACTTGCGTTAAGCGAGGCACAGAATGATCTTTGGAGGACAAATGGAGAGGCCAGAACAAGCAGTAAGACCTCCAGAAGGATTCTGACCGCCGTTCATTAAGTAACGGCCTGAGTATCGTATATCGTTATAGACAGCTGGGTTCCTACCTGATAGTATAGGTGATCCACTGTCGCCAGGTACAGAAGCTCGTTAAGCGAAAGCTTGTATTCTGTCCAGAACCGTTAGAAATCATGTGAGGTGATCTCACGATAGAATACAATATAATGAGTACTCCAAACCACTTCAACACGAGCGTAGTACCAGAACATCAACACAATCATCAAGGCAACCCACGACATTTCGCACATTAAGGGGCGAACACTCAGACATGCTCTCACTTTTTCTGACGAAGAGTCAATCCCATTTGAAGTGTTCTCCCATCAGAAGTGATCACAGTTCCGTCAGTGGATGGCTCTAAGAGCATACTTGTCGAATGCATACTCACCAATGGATTACCATCTATCTCCTGAACCAGCTATCTGATGTATGTCACACAAGTTAACATGGTTATTATTACCATATACCAGTAACAACTTCCTAACTACTTACTATTATTCACTCAATTCCGTCTCCTTACCTATCACCAATTATTTAACCTAGTCATTTATTCTTGGAACAACCATTTTCTCTTAGCACCCAAATTATCACTTTATTATCTTCACATTTCAACTAACCAACCTCCCGCCTAGTGATGTGATAGCTGCTGGTGCCCAAAGTCTCTGTTGCCCTGAAGCAATCTCACTCATTCAAGTGTAACATATAAAAATCCACAAATATCTATCATAGTGGCAAGAAATAGTGCAGCCAAATAGTCAGACTACCACCCATTGTACATTTAAAAATGCCTGAAACCGTTCTGAAACAACAGGGAGCAAGCGCAAAGAAATCAGCTGGTTTGTACAAGCTCAAGACAAGGATATTGAATACATTGGATATAGTTGGACGTGGTCAAGTTGACTTTTGCGGTACAGTTTTGTTGTGTGGCCGTCCTAACGCCTGTTGAGCATAACCTCCTCGTAACTGCGTTCTGATTTGCTGCACATAAAATTTTCCTAATTAAGGATTATGATACAGAAAACTGGTTTCATGGAAAGTGTTCTTTCGTTTCTATATGTTTACAATATCGATTCAACATTCTCATACTGTTAAAGTAGGTTTTTCCTCATAACTCTCGGAAAACTTATCATTTTCCTGAACATTTTCAAAACTCATTGGTTGTAAATGCCAATGAATCTTTTAGTGTAGTCGATGTTGCGCTCGATGCTAAATGCGTTTATGATAAATTTAAAGTGCATCACACGTCACTTAACATCGTTGGATCCTGAAAGAATAATATAGTGTATCGCAAAATGGTGCATTTGAGCAACTCCTATACACCTAACAGAACACATTCTATTAGTGGAAATTTATGGCAATGCAATCTTGGCTGGAGCGATAACTTAAAACTGAATGTAGGAGAAGACACCAAATCATATGAATGTTTGACCTAGTAATTTTGCGCGAATCGACTCTACTTGGCCGAGTTTGTTCCCACGACATGTTTAGAATAAAATGGTCAGGATTCTATATTTTTGAGTCGGTTTTCGAATTGGTAATTTTTGTATACCCGGTTGTCACTAACATGCTAGACTCTTGCAGTTGGTTGTTAACTGATAGTAATACTGTGTCACACTACCAAGATTGAGAGGCTCGTAGTTGATCTTGAAGTACCTAGCCTCATTACCGCCTTAGTACACAGATAACTGAACCAGAAATCTCTTACTAAAGACGTAGTGACAATATGGTCTGCTTTATTCGCATAGTTTACAAATTCTTTAGGCCTACAATACGCATTCATTACTTTCGAGCATGCTTTTTCACTCCAGATACATTCCTAAGGAGGCCAGTATAAGTTTGGGCTTAGAAACGGGTTATAAGTAGTTTTATTGGTTCTTTTTCACCGTTCTTACTTCACTAAACAACGACCTAGAAATCATGTAAACCCTAACCAGTCGCTCATGTGCCTCACAAAGCCCCCAATGCTCTATGGGTTGTTAGTGATCTAATTTGGTTAAGCTTACTTAGGCAAAATAAGAAACAATCAACCACTAAATAATTTTTCGTGTTAAATCTTCATCGAAAAGAATGAGCGATGCGTGGAGTTTCGTTTCCGTACCTTCAATTTCGCTACTTGACACTCTAAGGTCTTTGCCAATCCTAAGTAAATTTATCTCTAAACAAAGAGATCTTTCAAAACTCTACCCTCAATAAACAAGCTTCTTGCGGCAGTTCTTTAGTTTCGTGCAAAATCTTAAAACTCGTATAGTGTTTCCGATTGGCTTGGGAGTATGATACAGTTGCACTGAATAATGAAAAGCAGAACATCATATCATGTGCCTCCTTGTATCGATGTTTATGTTTAGTTAAGTAAATAATAGTTCCACCTAACTAGTTTCGTCAGTTCTAGGTTAGATTAATACATGAGTCTGTGTCTGGTTAGTGAATAGTACTGAGTCATGTTATATCATGGAATATGGATTAATCTTCTTTTCTGATATTTTTCTTTCTATTTCTTCCCATATAGCCTAAAAATCGGATTTGTCCACAATAATTTTCATTACTAATTGATGCATCTATTATTGTGAGACTGTGGAGTAAACATCTAAATTTGTTTCTTTGTATGGGCTCAAAGTCAAGAGCTAATGGGAATCGTAAAAAGTCTAAAAAGAATAATGTTCACTTAGAAGCTCAACAGGATCGGACATCTAAAGTATGTTGCAAGGGAAATGATGAAAATGATTATTATCTGAAAAATGATCCATCAGCGCCGGAATTCCGTCAACAATTAAATCAACTTGGTTTAGATTTCCGGGAGGTACCATCAGATGGAAATTGTTTATTTTCATCGTTATCTGATCAATTATATGGAACAATAACTAATCATAAAGAAGTTCGTGAACAAGCTGTACTTTATATAGAAAAACATAAAGAAGAATTTGAGGCATTTTTCGATGTCAAAGATAAGTTAAATAAACTTCGATCGCTTGGAACTTACGGTGGTCACGAATGTATCATTGCAATATCACGGTATTTTTCTGTATATATTATCATACATCAACTGAAACAAAAACCTTGGCTAGCCGGAACTCCTGTTATTGACAAAACACACGTCAACGTTTCTACCTACCCTCAATTACATTTAGCTTATCATAATGGTGAACATTATTCAAGCGTACGAGTTTTCGGAGATAATTCCAGTAATCCTACAAGAATAAGGATTTGTCTTTCAACTGATAATTCTGCTTCATGTGCAAGCAATATATCTGATAGGAAATGTGTGGACTACTCTTCTGATAGCTCGGATGATAAAAACTCTATTCATTCATGTAAAAATTGTGACAGATGGTCTCATAAAATTGCCAACTGTAATACAGACTACTTCCAAACATTTCCATTTCACAGGAAATTAAGTAAAAAAGAAAAACGTCAACTTAAACGTAGATCTCTTGAATTGTCTAACTCGGAATTTGTTATTAAATCTATTTCCGCTCTACATATATAATTTGTAACTGATTTTCACTCCTTTTTTCTTTTGTCGCAACGACTTTTCTGCTTCTTATTTCATACTAGATAACAAATCCTTGAAAAATTGTATATTTGAGATTTTCGTATTTTTTCTCTCTCGATTACTGGACTTTATTTATAATTTCATATTTTACAACCATGTAGTTTTCACGAATATAGGATTGCAGTGTACTTATTCCAGATTACATTCTTTTTTATTAATAAATTTTTCTTGATAATTGCCCTGTGTGTTTGGGAATTGAAGTGCTTCTGAAATTCACTTTTGACCTGCCATATTCTGAAGACATTAAAAAAAGACATATTCTTAAAATTCTCAGCTCTTGAAACGAAATAACTCTAATGTTCCTCTGAGGAGTTTAGTCTGAGCTCGAGAAAGCAAATGAGTCCTGTTAAGTAATATAGGCACTTTTATTACGTAGTTTACAGCTGTGATGCTTTTATTTGTAATTAAAGACACTACTGTTATTTCTGAAATTTAATATCTCACGAAGTTTTTGCTAGCTATTCTCGTTCTCAATACTATTTAGCATATTTATTGTCATGGCTCATTAGTCAATAAAGAGATTTTTTGAAATATATATATATATATATATATATATATATATATATACTGTAATCACAGTTCAAAGTAAAATACGCGTAAATGAACTGGGACCTGGTTTATATTCCTAAGTAGTACCAAACTTACATCCTCCAATGTCAGCAAAAAAACATACGAAAAATAATCCCACATAAAATAAGGGAGTGTAAAATGATTTATGTGCAAAGCAACCGAAAACATAAATGCCGATATGATACTTAAGGTTTAAATGAATGCACATAAGGAATGTTTCTTTTGCTAACGCTTAGTTTTATGATATTGATTCCTTTTATTTCTAAAACCTTATTAAGGAAATACAATGTTTTTTTTGTGTTATTTAGATAATCAGTTCGATATTCTTTAATATATATGCTTTGTTTTAATTCAACCACGACTTGTTAGAAATAACCATATCTCATGCTTGCATTATGTATGTTTTAATGCACTGTGTTTACTGACTTATTTTTTTCTATATTTTCAACAATTAGATTTTTGTGTATCTTATATTAAAAAAATACAAAATTAGATACTTATTTGTGAGGGGGGGATGGGTAACCAACTTACTGGATTATCACCTTCACCAGTCGTTGAAGATTATTTATCTGAATTATCCGGCTTAGTTGTATTTGAAGAAGAACTCTGCGGTTCTAGACTGTTTAAAGTGGCTAAAATAAGGTTAGTGTTTATTCGACTTCGCTTATTTGAAGTTATGTTGGCAATATTTTGTAAAGGTTTAATTCTTATTTATAAGTGTTACTGTAATCTGGGTTGATGCTTATCTTTCATCTTTTTCTGCCGTAATCACTAGAATAATTAGGATCGTATGGACAAGATGCAAAGTTTCTTAAGAAAAAGCTTAGACACCAGATCATTAAACCAATGACTTCTGTTATTGTACGTTTCTTGCTTCTAATGTACGAGACAGCAAAAACCAAGGTTGAAAACTAGACTCAACGCAGCTTAAGGTACGTGTACCAACTAGTCAGTAGTACAACACGTAGTACTTTAGGCCCATTCGCTTCACGCTGTGTTATAACTTGTTGGCCGAGTGAATGCCCTGTTAACGTATGACGTGATAAAGCCACCAATCAGAGAGCAGCGAATTATCGATTGGAACAGTAACACACGAAAACCGTACGAGCAGTCTAGAGTCCGTATCGGACCTGCTTTCTGCCTAGCCCAGCCAGTTAAGTCCAAAACACCAATAACAACCTCTGCGGTATGAATTATTGTATTTCAAACACACTGAGTTTATATACCAAACAGACTGACCACATCGTACCAATAAAATAAAAAATAACGTTTGTACAAGAATTAGGCAAATGTGGCTGTGAATGTGGGGGGCAGTAATTAATAGACTAGGGATAATTCAAGAATGATAAATCGTATAACCATAGTTTATAGTTCAAAATAAAGCTCATGATAAGGGGAACGTGAATATGAATAGTTTAGTTATTTAGCAATTATACGTTAAAAATTGTATGCATAACATTGGTCTATAAATGGATCCCAAAGTTACAATTCACTATTGTTATCGGGACATAACACACTGATAGCATTCCCTACCAACATCCAATTAACTGATTACTTTATACTTTAGTTTTTTTACTTCCACTTCGTCGTTCACTCTGTAAGCGAATGTGTTGGCTGTCTGATTTCTCTGCTCATTCAGTATAATGTGCAACTGAGGATCCTTTGTTTATTATTTTGAATATTTATTTCTTTATTTAAACACATAAATATTGGTACAAGGAAGCACCAGATAAATATGCGCCTCACAAATCTCATTCGATTTGTGTGGGGGCTGTGATACTGCCCAGGTGCCCAGACTGAAGCAGGTGGTTTTCTTAGGGGGCCACACCCGGAGCCTTTGACCTGAATGTCTGATCCACAAGGCAGTGGAGCATCATGAGGAGATGCAGTCCCATGGTAGCCGGTGATCAACGGTTGATTCGTGCGCCATTTGTTCCTTCAGGATACTGGAGCCCATGTGCACCACTGGTTTGGAATCAGGGTTTTCCAACTCCCCTAGGTGGACCCTCCATGTCCACCAACCCGGTTAAAGCGCCGAACATTCGCTTTTCGTCCTCTCACTTTCGTAAACAACACCCCCGCCACGAGAAGGCAGTGAGTAGGACTTCCCTGGCAGAGGCTATATATTCGCTGGCCATCTAAGAGTATTTCGAGAGGGAGAGGTGACTCTCCCCACTTTCGGCCGTACCAGGGCATTTCCAATTCACAGTCCCCTTTTAATAAGCTGTTCTATTTCCGATCGCCGTACCACTGTCTTCTTTGGTGCTGTTCGTGACTCGCACTCATGATGCTCTTGAAACCATCTCTGCAGTTGACTGGCATCTACACGCTTCTGCTTGTCTTCTCTCCTGATCGTGTAAACCGAGACACCTCTCTCCGTGACAATGTACGATCCTCACTGCAAAAAGCTTCCACGTTCTCTTTTGCTGTTCCGCCTTCTTTGTGTCTGATATTTATTTCTTTTCCACGTTCCTCATTGCCTCCCTCCTCTCTCTTCTTAGTCTTGCTGTTGTGGCCGGGTCTTATTATGCACTGGAAGTCGTTGTTGTATACCATACATAGGAAAAGTGATTTCCTGGTTGTTCCTTGTATGGAAGCATGTTGCGCCAACAAAATTAGTGGTAATTCTTTCTCCCAATTCCCTCCCTTAGATGCTAACCATTCCTTTAACGTTCGGTTGTTTCTTTCTGTAAGCCCGTTCGTCTGAGGGTGATGCAGTGAAGTTCGTATTCTCTTGATACTAACCTGCTTTAGACGGGCTTTAAACTGGTCACTTTCAAAACAGCGACCCTGATCGGTTAATATCATATTCGGTACTCCGTGACACGCTACAATATGCCAGATTATTACTTCGGTTACTGTTTTTGCCCACCTAGTCTGCAATCGGTACGGGGTCCACCCACCGTGTATCATGTTCCGTCGTCAATAGCAGGTATTGGTTGCCTCTAGTCGTCTGTGGAAACGGTTCCATCACATCCACCGACCATAGGTCATCGACTGAGGTTACTGGGGCTGACTGCAATGACGGTTGTGTGTATCGATTGCTTTTCATTAGTTGGCAGTGCTGGTAAGTTATCACATATTGGGCCACATCGTCTCTCATACGTGGCGAGTGTGCACTATGCCGTAGTAAATCCGCCGTTCTTGCGGTACCTGTATGCGCTACCTGGTGACACTCGTGTATCATCTTACGTCGCTGGTCTTTAGGGATCACAGCCACCCAATTTTTGTCATTGTCCTTTAAGACCTCTTCCACATGCTTGACGTGATCTGTTTCTGTCTGGCTGTACACAACTGCATCGTCGCCATACACTCCGACATTATCGAGATCATTAAGCAGCAGCGACATTAATCTTCTGGACGTAAATGGTGCACCTGCCAACTCAAACGGCATTCGTCTAAATTGGTACTGCTTGTCGCGTACAGTAGATGCTGTCTTGCTTCAATCGCTCTCTTTTATTGGCAGTCGCCAATAACCTGACGGCAGATCCAGTACTGTAAACACCGTAAAATTTTGCAGCCGAACTAATGTTTCCACTACTGTTGGCATTGTATATGGTTTAAGTTCTGTTATATTATTCAGTTCTCCAAAATCGACACAAAATCTATACTTTCCATTCAGTTTCTTTATCAAGAGTACCGGTAAGCTATACGGGCTGTTCGCTTCCTCAGATACACTCTCGACAAACTGCGACGCCAACAATTATGCCTCCGACTCCTTATCCAGATTCGGCAGCGCGCGGCGCAACAACTTGTTAAGCTCCACGGCCAGCACCAGTGGGTCACCATCGATCTGCAACGTCGTTACTCGGAACCTTCGCAGTGCTTCTTTTCTGTCCACTGGGCTGTTGAACTCCGCCATCAACCGCTCTGTAACTGCCTCCCATGTCGTCCACCCTCCAGCACCGTCCAAGCTGTCGTATACAGCGTCCTCAGCACCACCACCTTCGCCCTCGGCTCCTTCACTGCCACTAGCTTTGCTGCAGTTTCAAACTCCTTCAGGAAGCTGAGCACATCTCCATTGTCAAATTCCTTTGGCCATGGGATCTTCATCCTTGGTGGAGGCAGCGACACCAAATGTAGTGAATGAGAACATCGGTGAGGACTACCAATTATGTATTTAGCACAAATTATAAAGTTGCTTGATAAAATACAAAAACCATACTCTGATACTTTATTTGCAAAATGTTCATTAATTGTCTCAGGCTTCATTGTTCCTGGATTTCCACACCAATTGCTTTCTGTTTCTGTTCTTCCCTTCTCGATCTTCTCAATCTTCTGCTGCCAGATATTCTATGCCTGACTCACGACATGTACTACTTATGTCGATATAAGTAGCCCACACCACACTACAAACGGAGTTTAAACTCAATAATCAAATCCAAACTCGTTGAGTAGATTGTTATGAATTATGCAGAAACATAGGAACAAAAATCAAACCAATGGGAGATCCAACCAAAACAAAGAAGTAAACAATGACATATTTAAGATCAAGAACCAATCAACATCGAGGTGTACAGGACAAGCTGTGAACCATATGTGGAGAAATTCGAACACCTCACTTTTACCTGAAGTTTGTTCTGATGATGTCGTTCATAAGGACGATGAAAGCTCCACGACCAAACCATCCAGCTCAGAGAACAAAACTCCATCAAAATAAGCAATTCTCATTTATATAAACATGATATCCGGGTACTATGGGAAACTTTTCTCATCTAGTTCCAACGTGACCAAATAATGAACAGTGAAGAAGCCATTAAGATAACACTTATAGAACATGTACAAGGTAACGAACCCGATGTTCCAAGGTAATAACAAAAATGGATCTGTCATCATCGAGTCCAAAAATACACTGACAGATATCAGTATTACTTACACAATATTGCTATCAAGTCTAAGTAGTGCTTTGCAGACAGAGATGATTAAACACATAATCGTTAAATATTCTTAGTTCAGGGGAGGGCTAACTTTTACAAACCTATATTATAACAACTTTCGCCGACACGTTGTATACTGGACCTCTGACAGCCAAATCACTGTCACAGTGACGTCAAAATAGGAGATATAAGAATAAATAATCCTGACCTTCACTGTGTGTAGATCACAACACCGCCAAAAGTAGTCGTAAACCTATCCAGATACGAGAATTTTTCGGTTACTTTCAAGGATTCACAATATTCCCATACAAACAGATATCATAGCTATACGGATCTCACCGGACCACACCACAGAGAACCAGATAGATTATATTTGCATTAGTAAATAATTCACAAAGACTGTCAAGATCTATTGAAAGAAGAAATTATTATGGAGGATAACTGAGAAGGGATCAAAGAAGCATTAACTTCAACGTGCCGGGAAGTTTTTGACCGCAAGAAGCATCATCATAAGGAATGGATCTCTATGGAAACCCTGGACAAGATTGAAAAGTGGAAGAACAAGAAGACAGCAATTAACAACAGTCAAACACGAGTAGAGAAAGTCAGGGAACAAGCTGACTACACAGAAGCAAACAAACGAGTGAAGAAGAGCATTAGAGCTGACAAGCAGAAATACGTGGAATACCTAACAACGACTTCGGAAAAAGCTGCAAGAGAAGGAAATATAAAACAACTATATGACACTGTAAAGAAACTGGCAGGGAAATATAGTAAACTCGGGAGACCGATCAAGGACAAAGAAGGCAAGACAATCACGGAGATTCAAGAACAGAGGAAAAGATGGGCAGAATACTTCGAGGAACTGCTGAATAGACCAGCTCCATTGAATCCACCGGACATCGAAGCAGCACACACAAACCTACCTATAGATGTCACTCCACTAACGATCGAAAAAATCAAGATGGCCATCAAACAAATCAAGAATGGGAAAGCAGCAGGACATGACAACATACCAGCTGAGGCACTAAAATCAGACATTGAAGTAACTGCAAAGCTATTGAGGAAGATTTGGTAGGAAGAACAAATGTTGATAGACTGGAAAGAAGGACACCTCATCAAGATAACAAGACAATAACAAAGACGATCTGAGCAAATGTGAGAATTACAGAGGCATCACACTGTTGTCAGTACCAGGAAAAGTTTTCACCAGAGTGTTGCTGAACCGGATGAAAGATTCAGTAAACACTCAGCTTCCAGATCCATAGACTAGAATCCGTCAGGACCAGTCTTGCACAGACCGAATCGTGACACTACGGATCATCGTTGAACAATCGGTTGAGTGGAACTCATCACTATACATTAACTTCTTTGACTGTGAGAAGGCGTTTGGCAGTGTGGATAGGATAGCGTGATGCAAACTTCTTCGACACTGGTATGAGTACCTGAGATCGTCAACATCATACGGAATTCATACGACGGACTACACTGCAAAATGTTTCATGGAGGACAGCTGACAAACGCATTCCAACTATAGACTGGAGTCAGACAAGTCTGTTTCCTCTCTCCCTTCCTCTTTCTTTTGGTGGTTGACTGGACTTTGATGACCTCGACATCTGACTGGAAGCACGGAATAAAATGGATAGGTTGGATGCAGCTAGACGATTCGAACTTCACAGATGACCTGGCCCTCCTATCCCAGACAACTAATGTGGCAGCAGCCTCTCTGTCCGTAGGCCTCAACATACACAAGGGAAAATGTGAGATCCACAAATGCAACACGGAGAACACCAACGCAATCACACTTGATTGAGAAGCTCTGGAAGGGGTGGAGACTTTCACTTATCTTGGTAGCATCGTTAGTGCACATGGAGAGTCGGATGCAGATGTAAAGGCGAGAATTGGCAGAACAAGGACAGCATTCTTACAATTGAAGAACATATGGAACTCAAAACAACTGTCAACCAACATCAAAGTCAGACTCCTCAATACGAGCGTCAAGACAGTTGTAGTGTATGAAGCTGAAACTTGGAGAACTACCACAACCACCATCAAAAGGTATATTTATTCATTAACAATTGTCTATGCATGACAATGAATACCCGTTTGCCTTATGTCTACTGTGCGAGAGAACAAAGCAGCTTCCAGCTGAAGAGGAAATTAGGAAAAACCGTTGGAAGCGCTTAGGATACACATTGAGGGAATCTACAAACTACATCACGAAGCAAGCGCTAACTTGTTTTCTTGAATGGAAACGGAAATGATGAAGGCCAAAGAACACACTGTGCCGAGAGTTGGGTGCAGTCATGAAAAGGATGAATAGCAACTGGAAAGGATTACTTAGGACAGAGCTGGATGGAGAATGCTGGAGAAGGGCTTTTGCTCCTCCACGAGGGGTAATAGGTGTAAGTAAGTAAGTATTGAATTTAGCTAATTATAATTTATGGTTATTGAAAAGGGTATAAGAGAGATTTTTCTATTATATATCAACTTTGGTTAATTTCTTATTAGATCTGTTGATGGAGATAATCCACGTTCACTTGTAGCGAAAATATTTCCCAATCCAAATATCTCCCAGTTATTATGGCGCTATCAAGCTATTATGTTGCCTTACTGTCATCGTATTAATTCTGGTTATAATTTACTCTTTTTTAGCACGTAAGTATAAAGTTTCTAGTGTGATTTTTTCACTTGTATTGTTTTCATGAACGTGACAGTTATTGAAACGCTAATTAACTTATATCTTGGTGAACAAGAACACAAGTTGGGACAATCGATTGTATTTGAATACAAAATTACTGAACATAGTAAAATCTGAGGACTGTACAGTAAATACTTCATATGCAAAATCTCAATCAGTCGTCTCAGACTTCATTGTTCTTTCGTTTCCACACTAATCATTCTTTGTTCCCGTTCTCTTTTCTTTGATTTTCTTAACCTTATACCGCCAGGACTTTCACTTTCGACTAATGGTGGAGAAGATTTGTAGCTCAGGTGGATGATTTTGATGGATTTTTGTTCTCTGAGCTGGATGGTTTGGTCGTGGAGCTTTCATCATCCTTATGAACGACATCATCAGCACAAACTTCTACCCGAAGTTTGTGCTGATGATACTTACTAATTATATCTGTCGCCATCAGTAGCACACACCACAATATCACGGATAGCGAATGTTTATTTTTGCTCATTATCAGTGGAATCTTAAAAGAAGATATTTCATCTTTGAAGGCTAATAATAGTCGAACTATAAATGATTCTAAAAAAAGGACAATTTAGATTAACATGGATGGAATTTCTCTTTGATGTTTTATCTATTTTTGAAGACCTTTATTGACTGAACACCCTTTTGCTTCAGTATTTGTTCATTTTCGTTTTTAAACTGAGAGTTAGAATCCAACCCTACGAATTTTCTTTGAAACATTATCTATCTAAACAAAATGTCTAGTATCAATCAACCAGCTGCTTTCATAATTCTTTTTGTTGTTTCTATCTTAATCTGATGAACTATACAATAGGAAAATAGTTATTTGAATGGAACTAAAGTATGCAGTAAATTTATTTGTGACATTTCATTACCTGTACCTACAACCTGTGATATTCCAAAATGAATATATGATTTCTATTGAAATAATGTCAATTATCAGTTAGTTCAAATGAATATCAGCATAATACAATCGTTATAAGAATCCGAATTAAGTTAATGAGGATTCGAATAGACTATATAACCAAAGACTGTATACAAAAGATTATTTTAACCGAGGGCATAATAAATTTGAATTGATTGGGTTTTTAAATTTCAAGATATCTGTCTGGTTAGTGTTCTGTGCTTAAAAATTGTACTGTTGAACTCCTTTTTTGATTACCATAATTGAGAAAGGTATTAGTTGGTATTTTTTCAGTTCTTAGCTGTGCATTTAAAAACTTTTTAAAAATTATTTATAGTAGAATGTTTCTTCTCTTATGTAGTAAATTATTCTATCTCTTTCCTTCTAATTTAGATCATATATAACTGAACGTAGCGGAGTACTTATCAGGGATTTTATTGATCAGTCATTAGCTGATCGTCTGTGTACAAGACCATTTCTATGTATTGAAGATAAAAGATGGATCGCTTATCAATTATTATGTGCTGTTGATCAGCTTCATAGTTATTCAACCAAAGCTTATAGTAAACATTCTAGAACTAATTATTCAGTAAGTTGAGCTACGTAACTGATTCTTATTTTTTAAAATAACCATGATTTTTTAAAGGATTCATTATCAATGAGTCGTATTTTAAATATTAGTACGATGCCCAAGAATTAAGCCTAACAATTATGTTTTATCAGTGAAGGGTTGTGGAAATTGTTGAATTTCATTAAAACCATGAACCGATGAAATTCAAGTCTCCATAACCCCTTACTGACAATTATCATGTGCTTATCAATGACTAGTTTCGAGATGAAATTTCGAAGTTCTAGTGAGAAGCCATGACCAGTGGAGTCTAGTCCGTGTTGGTTGTAAGGCAGTTATCCACCGAAGAAAGTAGATGGTCGCGCATTGTCGTGGATTGATTGAAGTTAGACATTAACACCATTGGATGCCAGCTCATCGATCGAGTAGCTAAGAGTTCGCGCGTTAGATTAAAGGTCCTGGGTTCGATTCCCAGTTGCGATGTCGTAGACGCTCAATGCTGAGGAGTTCAACACTAGGATGGAACGGCCGTTCAGTTCTTCCAGGTTTTCAATTATGATCTAACTTAGATCGATTCATGATTTCAATCAAATTGGATTTAAATTTACTGGAGAGTAAGCAACATACAAAATGATTTCTCCAATTTCTTATGTAATATTTTATCATGTTCATTTTGTATTAATATTTTGTACATATAAGTATATCGCTGTATTACATAGAAATTCTTATCTTCCTTGATCTTGTCCAATCAATCTTCCTAACAAGATTCGTCTTTTGGAGTAGTTGAGTCTAGAAGAGAATAGAACGGTTTTATACGGTTTTGCAGCTTTCGTTAGAGATATAAAATGGACGTTGAGACTGCTATGATTTTTAAAGTGATAGCGCAATTTTTGCCATTTTACAAATTTTAATGCATTTTAACAACTGACTGGAATTTTTTGTAAAAATCTCCTGCAAATGATCTTTAATTTTATTTTCATTTTTATGTTTCAGTCTCTTTGTCATGGAGATATTAAAGCGGAAAATGTTTTAATCACCTCTTGGGGATGGGTACTTTTGGCTGATCCAGCTCCATTTAAACCAGTTTGGTTACCATCTGATAATCCGAGTGAATTTACACGTTTTTTTGACTCATCACGTCGACGTGTTTGCTATTTAGCACCAGAACGCTTTGTCGAAGTACACAGTTGTACAACGACAACTGTTACTACTACCACAACCACCATTCCAACTGTTACTGGCTCTGAAGCAACAAATCTGGATAGTCTTTTGGAAGATGTAACTATATGCTCTGAAGAAACAAAAAACGTAAAATTGGAGTAATCCATGATTTTTTCAATAAACATTGTTGACATTGCTTATCATTATTAAGGAAATATGTTTTTCCCATAAGTTTATTAAGATTCTTCCCTAAAATTTTCTCCAATTTTTCTTAGCCTAGCATTAGGATCAATGGTTTTAATGTCTTCATTTGAAATTTAGTCAAAACTTTATGCTATGTGTATTAAGGTAGTAATTTTTCCTTGGCCTCTTAAGTAATTTTCCCGAAACTATATGTAAAAATGAAACAGTCTTTTGAATCGATTCCACACCTTATTTACATATGAACAAGTAATTTTAAGAATCAATTAATGGATCCATTGTTATTGAAAAAGGTTAACTATAATAATTCAATTCTATGGTTAAGTTATATATATTCTTTAATTTCAACAAAATTCTAATACCGATATAAATGACTTGTTATTGTTTGTGCTTTGGGATATAGTTTAAATGTAATAACAATAATATGAAAATGACTAATTCTAACCTCCTGATCAAATTCTATCCGAATTATATTTTGTTTTAAATTATAAAATAATGAATGTAACTGCTCACTTATCACATACCACTTGACTTTAAATGATTTTGTTTGCTGGTTTATCTTATTTTGGTTAAATGTTTTACCCAAGTGTGTTGTTATTGTTGTCGTACACCTATGTCAGTTGTAATTTGATCATAGGAAAGAAAAGACTAAATGTAATCAACCAAAAAGGTCCTTTTAGGTCTACCCTATATATGTAATGTATGATTTTACAACCTATCAGTGATATTTACTTTATTGTAATTGATCAGTTAAATCTCAAAAGTGTATGTAAAAGTTGTAGAGTGCGCTTTTGAATCACTGTGTAACACTCAACTTTAAAATTGAGTTCTATAAATTCAAAAACTGTTATTGTGTGTTAACTTTAACTGTCACTTAATAAAATGTTGTTTAGATGAACATGTAACTCGCTTAGTTATTATTTCACATTTCTATGTAGTATAATAACTATTTTCTTTATAATTAAATATTCAGCAAATCATTGCAAATCTAGTTGCAAAGGTCTGTAGTGTTTTCATCCTAACTCTTAAGAAAATTTAAAAAACAAATTAAACCGGTTACTTCTAACAGCTGTTGATTCATTTTGTATCAGCGGAAATATAATTAACCTTAAAGTTGACGATTTTAATAAGCAACTGGTTAATGCGTCGTTCGTTGTAGACCGTTGATTATTTCCAGTATATAATGAAACCAATATCTTTTTTTTACATCACTTTATCTATTCCATCCTAATTGGTTGCTTTTCTCTTACTACGTTTTTTCCTCACCTTTAGAATGTAAACATGCTTGTAAATGAGTGTGATAATACTCTAATAAAATCTATTACGGTAAACGAATCGAATCCTTTAAATAATGAATACAATATCGACTCTGGTAAACAACAACTCACCATTGAAATTTCCGATTTGATTAGTAGTAATAATAATAATTTCTCTAAAAGTGAATCGTCTTATTTGATTGCGAATTCCAGTGAACTATCTACTCAACTCAGTGTAACTTCATCGCCTTCGCTCATCTTAAACACTGAAGACTGTGATATACAAAATTCTACTGATGAAGTGATTGATTTTAAGCAACGAACAAAATTTATGACATCAAATTTACTTGACTCAGATTGTCATTTAACACCAAGTATGGATTTATTTTCGATTGGGTAAGTTTTTTTGTTTAAAAAAGTTTTATGCTATTGTTGTTTATTGGTAAATTTTCTCGTCGGTAGTTAGTTTTGCTGGAGATGGAAAAAAAATTGACGAAGTGTTTTAATATGCAACTAATCTGTTAAGAGTTAAGAAGTATGAAGTCGCATTAATAGTCAAAATGTACAGAAAGATAAAAAATGAACATTAACTTTCTGACTAACCGATTTCAAATCACATTACTTAATGCTTATAGCTATCGTTTTGCGCTTACCACGCTGATCACGGCTATGACGTTTTCACTTTATCACGCACCTTAGTTCAACGGTCAATTGCTGGATGGGTTGGAGCCGTGTTTTTGTTTCATTTCTACTAAACTGTCTTAAATACCACTCTTATAGAAGCCATTGAAAGTTGAAGTATGCAGTACATATAAGACATGCCCCATCTACCTGGGTCAAGAAAATGCTTGTCATGGTTCATTAACTTTCTATATAAGAAGTAAAATGTCTTCTTGATGACTGCAAAACTGATCTCTACAAGCTAATAGTTAGCCTTTTTCGAACTTTCGTATCTTAAAACTGTATAATGAAATTTTTATCTTTTAGGAAAGTCTTACTAAAACATTCCCGACTGTTACCGCTATCTTGACGCGATGGTCGGGCTTGCCTATCGTGATGATTCAATCGAACTATACTGGCTGGAACAATCGTTCATCAAGGTCCTACCATGCCAGACAGGTCGGTCAAAGAGCGGTAAGACTAAAAGCAGCAAACCCAAGGTCCGAAGGCGAAGTCGTACTGTTGACTGTACAGAGGTGTGACAGCAGTAAGGTGTTTCCTTCAGACAACTAGCATGACAGCGATGCTGCCTTCCCACAAGGAGGGGTGGGGTTAGAAAAGGTCGACCCTAAAAATGCACACCTCGCCTTATCCCACGGATATCCATCTCCAACGGTAAGGACTTTTGAAGAACGGAGCTAACACGAAAAGTACTCACAAAAAGGTCGTGTGTGACCGACCTCAAACAGTTGTCTGTTGGGCACTGTGGTCACGCTCTCAGGTCACTAAGACCAACTCTAACCCTAGTGTGGTCATTCACTTGACCTCACCTCGCCAAAATGGAGAGCCGACAAGATACACCTTTCGTGTATCTGGCGACCCGATGCTTAGTTCTCGTTGATTTGGAGGTGTAGACATAGCACTTAGTAAGAGAGCAGAACAAGCACTATTAGAGTGGATCCCCGTTAACAGCCGCCCATGTGCTGTTCGACTAAATAGCTCCGTAAGAACTCGGAAGGTTAGGGACACACGTCGTTGCCTTTTCGTCGTTTCTGCCTACGCTCCCACTGACTGCAGCGATGATGAAGCGAAAGATGACTTTTACAGAAAGCTCTCTGAACTTCCCCAAAAAGCTGAACGCTCAGACATAGTACTCGTAGCAGGTGACTTTAATACCCAATTAAGTAGTTTAAACCAAACAGAAAAACATTTAGGTGGGTATTTTAGTATTCCGGCTCAGCGAACAGATAGTGGTGATCGTCTGTTGCAACTATGCTCAGACAATCGTTTATTTTTAGGAAACACTAATTTTAAGCACAAGAATAGACATCGTCTAACATGGTGACCACCTGCATCAAACCAACGATGGACTCAAATAGACCATATTACCATCAGTCATCGTTGAAGAGGCTCGATAGAAGATTGTCGCTCGTATTGGAATACTTGTTTAGACTCTGATCACGCTTTAATACGAGCGCGCATTTGTCTGCGCCTCAATGGACGCAGGAAAAGTACACTAAGAAGACCCATCAGGATTGAACTGGAGGACGAGAAAGCCAAATGCGAATTCCAGAAACAACTAAGTTCACATCTAGGCAGTTCTGTAAACGAGACTGACCCAGATGCTGCTTGGAAAGACATACGAACAGCTGTGGAAACAGCAGTTACATCTATTAATCATTTAAACCATAGGGCTCCAAATAACCAGTGGATTTCCTCTAAGTCTATTTCACTGATGGATTCGCGTAAACTCATCCCATCAGGCTCTGAACATGACGAAGAGCGTAAACAAATTAGATCTAGGTTAATTAAAAGTCTAGGGAACGATCGTGAGTAGTAGTGGGCAACGAAAGCAAAAGAGATGGAAAGGGCAGCGGCTGTAGGCAACACCAGGCAACTATTCAGACTAATAAAAGAAACCAGGATTAAGAAGTCAAGTGTAAGTGAGACGATCTCGGGAAAAGATGGAACCCTCATCTGCTCTCAACCCAAACGTTTAGAACGATGGGCGGAATACTTTAAGGAGCAGTTTAGCTGGCCTTCAGCTACTGCAAAACTACCCACTATTCCCAGAAAACCTGAATGGAACATTGAAGTAGGTCCCCCGACTCTGATTGAAGTTCAAAAGGCTATAAGTAATCTGAAACGAGGAAGAGCAGCTGGTCCAGATGGATTGGCTCCAGAGGTCTTTAAATATGGTGGTCCAATTTTAGCGATTAGGTTGACTAATATTCTGGCTAAAATCTGGGAAACGGACGTAATCCAATCTGACTGGTCACAATCTCTGATTGTCTTAATATATAAGAAGGGGTCAAAATCATCCTGTAATAACCATGGAGGGTTTATTTTAACTAATATACCGTGAGATTAAAATTGTTTTATATCTTCCTTTCTACGAACTAATTCTTTCTTCTTGTACTATATCCTTATATACAGTCTTCCGTTTATATATTACTACCATTGAAGTGGCTACTTCTATGAATTTGGTGTTCATCTTGTTGTTCTAATGAGGTATGGCAACTTGGACCGATGTATATATGTGCCTGGTCTTATGTTGCAGCTGACTAACTAACTATAACAGCACCAATATATTTTCTTCTTTGGATTAGATATCCAGTTGTTGTATCGAACTCTTGAGGTTTCCGTAGAAATAAAATTCTTAGGTGTTAGTGTGTGGTATTTACATGCTAACACTGGTGCTGAAGCTTAAACTAATTTAGGAAATTTCCAAAGAATTCAGGTCATAATAGAGGGCGAAATCCATGTGAAATGAAGGTTAGATTCAAAGACTGTAAGGAGTTGTTGTTTTTGAGCTTATCAAGTAATTTGGTAATTGTTAGGACGTGAGAAAGGGGGATTATCAATAGTTATTATTGATTTAATTATTTCAATTAATCTAAAGATTATTTGTACGAAATTTGTTTTATATCATTGTTACATACTCCTAATTGTAGACTGTATTTTGAGAAATTAATAAGTTTAATTTTACTGATCATAAATAACAGTCTTACAAATTAAAATGGAAAGTCGAAGTTTTTGTGATACACTGATCGTCTGCAATAAACAACAATAGAGATAGTTTCGTGGCATTGAAGAAATAACGTTCAGATGTCCTTTTTCTATAATATTCACTCAATCTTGATGTGTATCAAATAAGTTAGTCTAAGAAAAACAACATTTAGTGAAACCATTACCTATATAATAATATTAGGTAACAAATGTTATATAATAGTTTTTTAACCTTCATCTCGATGAAATTATCAGTTACATGTTCACAGTTAATCATCATTTTCTGGAGAGTACAATAAACATCTATATGCAAAATTTCGGCAAATTAAGATATTCTTCTCGAAACCTCCTTACTTCTTAATTTTCCCACCCGAAAAGCTCATATTTCCCATGTAATTTATAATCTAAACTTTCAATGTTACAGTCAGAACGGATATCAGTGAACTGAGAAAACTAGAAGTCATCTGTCTCTTAGCTGAGTCACATGACTTCATTAGTAGACATGGAGTTATATCTGCAAGCTAACTCATAACATTGTTTACTAATTAATCAATCATTTTGAATGTTCAGTATGTCCCATTTTCATTTAATATTTAGAGTATTGAATATGCGCGTATCACATTATTATTATTATTATTATTATTATTATTATTATTATTATTATTATTATTAAACTTTTTAGATGTGTTCTGTTGGAATTGTTTACTGACGGATCAATAGCCTTCACATTGGCCGATTTACTGGCCTACAGACGAAATGATCAAAGTCGTTTATCGAAACTTTTAGAACAAGTTCCATGTGAACATGCCAAAGTAAATGTCAACATAATGATTTTGAACATAATTTAAAACGTTAGGATAAAAGAAATAATTTGACTAGTATATATATATATATATATATATATATATATATATATATATGAGCTTCATTGATCCCATAAATTAATGACAGTTTTAGTTATATACAATCAGTCTAAATTTGCAGATTTATTCCCCTCAGTTTATTCCATAGTTTGTGCTGTCATGTTTTTTCTCAAACTGACAGCCATGTTGAGTTGTAGTTCAGTGCTTAATGCAGTTTATTCTTACTCACTAGTTTACAAATTTAACTATTTCAGTAGTTTAGCGGTATCACGCAACCCTCCCACGGTTGCGACCTGGGTTCGACTCCCGACTGGCACATGTCTTGCCCCTAAATACCCTGGTACGGCCGAGAGTTACATATGCCTGACCGCCGATTACCACGATGCGCTATGCTGACTAGGATTGGCGATGGTCGGAAGAGAGTTAGGGGCGGCCAAACAAAAACGTGGCATCCCTGCTTGAATTCACTAACTTCTAGTCTGAACCATGCTGGCAGAAGCAGACTACTTGGTTGGGGTCCGCGTGACTATCGTAACCAATGGTTGAAGACTCTGTGTGATATGGCTTAGAATCGATCACAATGGCGTAGGTGTATAAACTCCTTGTCTTCCCTTAAACCTTGAGATTAAAACTGCTTCATATCTGTCTTTCTTCCTGCACTATATCCTTATACACAGTCTTTCGTTTATATATTACTACCATTGAAGTGACTACTTCTATGAATTTGGTGCTCATCTTGTTGTGCTAATGAAGTATGTCAACTTGGACCGATGCATATATGTGCCTGGTCCTACGTTGTAGCTGACTCATTGGCTGACGGCCGAGAGTGAGAGGAGTAAGCTCTCCCTTGTGGACGGAAAGTCCACCTAGGGGAGTTGAAAACCCTGATTCCAAACCGATGGTGCTCATGGGCTCCACGGTTCTAAGGAATCAAAAGGCGTAACCTAATGTTAGTCATCGGGTACAATGAAACTGTATCTCCTTACGATGCTCCACTACCTTGTGGATTAGGCCTTTAGGTTTAAAGCTTGGGGTGTGACCCCCCTAATAAAATCACCTGCTTTGGTTTGGGCACACGGGCAATATCCCAGCCCTCACACAAATCAAATAATTTATGGGGTTCATTTCTATTTTGTGCCTCCTTGTACCAACGTTTGTTGTTAAATAAATAATAAAAGTTCATGAGCTGATCCTCCGTCTTGGTTTGGGCCCTCTTAGTTTTCTTCGAACCTATTCCTCCCTCACTGAACTCTAATGATTTTCTAAAACATATGCAAATATTTCGTCGTGAATATTTAACTCACCTCTGCTGAATAATATACCTGTTGTAATCAAATAAAAGAAACTCTCTATGGATGTAGTTCCATGTACTTCACTGTAACGAATGTCTGTACTGTCAATGATTTCTTGAAATACGTTTAAGATAACTGCATCCGTACTTTTGTTCTATTAACTGCTTTGTCTGATGATATTTCTGTTATTAATAGTTGGAAAGACTTGTAACGCTACCTAATATGTATCCTGTTCATCTTCATTGGAGCTGCTGTAATTTAAAAAAAGGTTGACGACAACCACTGCTTACTGCCTAACAACGTTCAGTAAAATATTCCGATTCACTGCTAAGATGTTTAGTGTAAATCAGCGTAACAGAAAGTAATGTGGAACATACTTAAGATAAAAATATTTGGTGTTTCATGAATACAATTATAGCTTTACATATGTGATTTTTAATATATAAATTGTCAATTCACCAATGTTAGTAGTACCTTGGAATTGTCACTGGATTTTGTTTGGTTTCGTATCAGTCGTATGTTTTCACACTTAAAGCTTGATGACTATTCAGGATTATACCAATGTTTTGCTGAGTGTACGTTCATGAAAACCGATAAGTCATAAGGAACTTAACCCCTTTGTTTACTTTATTAATTATCTAGCTTAGTGTTCTGTAAATAAAATATTTCGCCTACCCAAAGAGTTTATGTGACTGAAAACCACTACAAAATGGACTAATGGTCTTCAAATGACATTATCCTATCGTTCTGGGAAGTTGCTGTAGTTAAAGTCTGTGAACTTGATTAAATCAGTACATAATATCACTCTCCCACTGTACCTCATATGTCTATTGTTTATTTTGTCTAAATCTTACATCTTTTGTTATCCTATAAGTTGCATTTATTGTTTCCATTCGCTGATTTCACTTTCTTTTATTTCGCTTCTATTTTCTGTATCATAACTTTCTTGCCTTTGATCGTCTTCTCATTTATCTTTCATCGTGAGTCATATGTGAAGTATTAAAATACCTCGACGTTAGGTTCAACGCCTTTGTAAGGTATCAAGCCTCATAGATTGACTTACTTTCATTCTCGTTTTTCATTAATTTTACTGGTATTCACTTAGCGATTTTATGTTAGGTATCAATTCAGTATAATTTACTGTCTTTCATTTTATTACAGTTTTATATAAATTTAATGTTTTGTGTAATTCTAGTTTCTAATCTCTACTTTGTTATCATTGGACAAAGAAGAACGCCGTACAGCTGCCGAGCACTTAGAACAACAACGAGGCAAAACTTTTCCAAGTGTCTTTTATACACATTTAACACCATATCTTCAAAACTTTCTAAATCCAATACTTAATTCTCCTGATTCAAGGATATCATTTCTTAAATTGTAAGTTATGTATATTAATCAGTACACTAGTTTTCCTACATTTGTTTGACTACAAAAAGTATTGATAAGACTGTGGTCATGTAATAGTTTAGCGTCTTAAACTACTATACACACTATTGAACTTTTGTTGATGCTAAAAAGCTTGATTACCTAACAGAAAAAGCGGAAAATTAAGAGTAATTTGTAAAAAGCAGGTAAAAATGACGAAAATGAATAAAGGTGAACTGTTTGAAAATGCTAAACATAGTGTTTCATGAATAGGTAATGTACTTTTATATGCATAATGATGAAAATGGGAAATTGTAGACATGAATTGTTCTGATTGTAAACTTTTGTGTAACTCACTAACCAGTGTAATCTCATTTACTGTTTATTAGTTACAGTAAGTTGATTAGAAACTTGTTACTCAAATTTGCACTATAAAAGTTTTTGCGATGTACGTATTATGATTTAGTACTTATCGTTCGTCACAGTCTTGTATTTTACGCAATAATCATGCTAGTCTTTGAGTCTGAATAATACACAGTGTTTGGATGTTTTTTCTGTCCCGATGGGTAGATTCAAAACAGATGTGTATTATGCAAAGTAATTCGATTACTAACACATACAGTTACTGTGTTATGGGACCCCGTGCTATAGTCATAGCAGTTTTCATGATAACATCGAGGTTTAGTTTTCATGAAATAATCCGGTAGCTTTTCTTATCGTTCAATAAATAATCGACAGGTTACACTAGACACTCACTTCATAGAAGGATTTGTTTTATTCTGATGGTTCACATATTTGTCAGTTAATTTTTTATCGTATTTCTCTGGAGCCTTAATAAAGATTATTAGAATACTTACAAGTTCTATCCGATCCTTTCACGCATAGTTAATGAAAGTTACACTTTTATACTTAGTTGTTAGCAACATGAATCCTTTCTGTATGATCATTTTCAAGCTCATTTACCACAATCCACGTCGATGTTGTTGAGTCAATTATTTTTATCACTACTTTTCTTCTTTTAATCGCTATATCTTCCAGTTTGCAACTTCCTGAGTACCTTATCTCCATTTTTCTCTTTTTACAGAACTATGACAAATTTCCTTCAGCAGGTTACTGATTCAGGATCAGAAAATTTAAGTACTGTTGCTGTTATCATATGCAATTTAATTATTAGTGTTCTACGACCTACATCATATAGTCAAAATACGCAAACTCCAATCACAGCTGCCGATTTACCAACGTTAACGCAAATTAATAGAGTCAATACTACTGATCCCTTTAATTTAATACGCAACAATTTGCATTCATCTGACAAAAAAGAATATTCAACACGATCAAATCGTTTAAGTGAAACTGGTAAAGTTAATGCATTAATGTGCTTGCTCGAGATTGCTAACCATATGCAACCCAATTTATTAATGGATCGTGTAATACCTTATTGTATGGAATTAACGACATTATCACATTCTGGTGAAGTACGCAGCTTAGCTATTGAATCACTGACACATATTTTCAAATTAGTAATACAGAAATGTGAAAAAATTAATGAATTTGCATCATTTTTGGAGGAAACATTTTTAGCAGAATATCTCTTTCCTAATTTAGCACCTCTTAGCATGGATCCCAAACCAGAAGTACGGTTAACTTTGGCACGATGTTTACCTATATTGGCAACATGCTCTTTAAAGTTAGTCTCCTGTAAATTGTTTAATAAATATTTTGTTTATATGCTTTTTATGTTGATATACACATTCAACTTAAAATTTTATCACGAAATTCCTAGAATACTTGTTTAACACAATAAAGTAGAGAATAATTCAATAAGTAAAAATGTGATAGTAATAATCAAAATTATATTTAAAACTAGAGAAGCGAAAACATAGAAGGTATATGCATATGTTGGTATTAATAAATCGTCTGATTTATATGGATTTGTAGCCTCTCGTTAATTTGAAAGACTTTAACTGATCAGTCTCTACCGGCCTCTGCCAGAGAAACACTTCTCACTGCCTTCTCGTGGCATTACTGTTGTTTACGAAATTGAGATGACGAAAAGAAAATGTCCGGCGCTTTAACCGGGTTGGTGGACACGGAAAGTTCACCTAGGGGAGTTGGAAAACCCTGATTCCAAACCAATGGTGCACATGGGCTTCGGTATCCTAAGGAAACATATGGCGTATAAACCAATCGTTGATCACCGGCTACCATGGGACTGTATCTCCTTACGATGCTCCACTACCTTGTGGATTAGGCCTTTAGGTTAAAGGCTTGGACTGTGGTCTCCTAAGAAAAAAACCTGCTGCGATATGTGCACCCGGGCAGTATCATAGCCTTCACAAAAGTAAATGAAATGACATTTCTGTGTGTGGTGCATATATATCTGGTGCCCCCTTGTACCATACTTATGTGTTCAAATAAATAAATCAACTAATGGCATATGTACATACTGAGTCGATCTCCTTGTCACTGTCATTTGGTCACAAGATTTTATCAAAGTAACATAGTAATTAGGTTTGCTATCCACGACTCTCGTTTTGTCCTGTTTCTGACTCGTCCACTAAATGTATCTGTATCCAAGTGTTGACGTTCACACTGATGTATGTACATCTTCTTGAATGTAATCAACCATAAGTTATATCACAAAAAGTTCCAAATTGTGCTAAACTATTCTGATAAGAATTTCGATCTGAAAGCCCACATCTCTCTCTCTCTCTCTCTCTCTATATATATATATATATATATATATATATATATATATATATATTCAAATTATAAAAGTTTAATAGGCAGTGCTTTAATTAATTTTCTAGTTATTTTGATTGCCCCACACAAAATCTAGTTAGCATGAAAATTTATCGCTTGGTATAGATTCATCAAACACTAGCAACTTCTCAAAGACATTACTCATTGAGTATGCTTGGTTTTCCTAAAATTGTCTTTAAATGAAAGGTATTTATCAAGTACATGTTTAACTACTGGGCTTTGAGATTTACTTCATGTGTTAACTGATGCAAGTGGAGTGGTATTTTGTCCTTGCAACTTACCTGCTGAAATTCTAGTACTTTAAGCATTAAGTTACCACTCTACACTTATTTTTGGCTTAAACACTGTAAAAAAGACCACATAACACCACATAAATATGACTGATTTGTCCGTTTTATATTTTTACCTGTTAAAAGAAGTAACAGTTTTAATAAGAAACAATTAAGAATTTACATTTCTTTACAAATAAATTAATGATGTCCATGCGAATTCGTATTGATAATGGAAAGGCATTTAATAAAGTTGTTTTTTAATATTTATAAATGACAACGATTATTCACCAGGCTCGTTTGGAAATTTAAACTCATAACTTTGTCACACTAGCTAAATTTAAGGGTTCAGATGTTTCTGTATTTTATCCATCGGGGTTAACTTTGGAATTTTAGTTAGACGTTACACGGAACATTAATTCCGATGGAAGATAAAAATAAACACATATGTATTATTGAGACATTATGACCTATATTCTTTAGTGATGCTAACCTATGATATGGTAAAGATATCCGCATTTCTGTATTTAGGTCAAAATAGTTTGCTTATTTCACTTATTTATGATAAGCCACGCGGTTGTCATCAGTGGTTGTCGTCAACCTTTTTCTAAATTACAGCAGCTCCAATGAAGATGAGTCAGTCATTCAGTCAGCGACAACGTAGGACCAGGCACATATATACATCGGTCCAAGTTGCCACACCTCATTAGCACAACAAGACGAACACCGAATTCATAGAAGTAGTTAATTTAATGGTGGTAATATATAAAATAAAGGTTGTATATAAGGATATAGTACAGGAAGAAAGGCAGATGTGAAGCAATTTCAATCTCAAGGTTTAAGGGAAGACAAAGAGTGTATACACTTACGCTATTGTGATCGATTCTGAGCCATGTCAGACAGTCTCCAACCATTGGTTGCAATAGTCGTGCGGACCCCAACCAAGTTGTCTGCATCTACCAGCATGGTTCAGACTAGAAGTTAGTGACTTCAAGCACTGATGCCGCGTTTTGGTTTAGCCACCCCTAACTCTCTTCCAACCATCCCCTATACTAGTCAGCATTGTGCGTCGTGGTAATCGGTGTTCAGGCATACGTAACACGTGGCCCAACCATCTCAGTCGATGAAGATTCATGACCTCATCAACAGATTTACCATCATTCGCTAATGCCCTGAGTCTAACCTCACTGTTACTTACCCGGTGATCTCAGCAGATGCGAGCAATGTTTCTGAGACATCTGTGGTCAAATACTGGTAACTTTCGGGTATCTTTTACTCTTAATGGCCACGTTTCGCTGCCGTAAAGTAGAACAGAGCGAACTACTGCGCAGTATACTCGCCCCTTAATCGATAGACGGATATCTCGTCTTCGCCATAGGTGACATAAGTTGGCAAAAGCCAAACGAGCTTTTTGAATCCGTGCTGAGATTTCGTCAGACACCAACCCATTAGGGCTGATTAGACTTCCAAGATAAGTGAAGTTGTCGACGCGTTCGACAGAAGACTCTGCATTTTATCAGCGTCTTCACCAAACAGGACTATGTCGTCTGCGTATTCTAAGTCGATAAGTGAACCTCCTGGTAGAAGATCAATTCCTGAAAATTCAGTCGATGAGAGTGTTATTTCCAGCAACAGGTGTATCATGAAGTTAAACAAAAATGGGGATAGTGGACAGCCTTGACGGACACCACTTGAGGTTGTAAAATCATATGACAGTTCGCCATAAGCTCTCACTCGACTGGTAGTGTTCGAGTAAAGAGCCTTCACAAGGTTTATGTACTTCTGAGGTACACCTTTCAATGACAGACACTGCCACAGAACCTCTCGGTCTACAGAGTCAAATGCTGCTTTCAAGTCAAGAAAAACTATCATTGTCGGACGCCGATAAGCATGTCTGTGCTCTAAAACTTGACGAATGGTGAATATGTGATCGATACAGCCACGACCAGGTCTGAAGCCAGCCTGATTTTCTCGTGTTTGCAGTTCATGAGTCTTAGATAGGCGCCTGATAATTATTGAGGCTAGTATTTTAGATACTATGTTAGTCAGACTAATCCCTCTATGGTTATGACAGGATGATTTTGGCCCCTTCTTATATATTAAGACAATCAGAGATTGTGACCAGTCAGATTGGATTACGTCCGTTTCCCAGATTTTAGCCAGAATATTAGTCAACCTAATCGCTAAAATTGGACCACCATATTTAAAGACCTCTGGAGCCAATCCATCTGGACCAGCTGCTCTTCCTCGTTTCAGATTACTTATAGCCTTTTGAACTTCAATCAGAGTCGGGGGACCTACTTCAATGTTCCATTCAGGTTTTCTGGGAATAGTGGGTAGTTTTGCAGTAGCTGAAGGCCAGCTAAACTGCTCCTTAAAGTATTCCGCCCATCGTTCTAAACGTTTGGGTTGAGAGCAGATGAGGGTTCCATCTTTTCCCGAGATCGTCTCACTTACACTTGACTTCTTAATCCTGGTTTCTTTTATTAGTCTGAATAGTTGCCTGGTGTTGCCTACAGCCGCTGCCCTTTCCATCTCTTTTGCTTTCGTTGCCCACTACTACTCACGATCGTTCCCTAGACTTTTAGTTAACCTTCGGACCTTGGGTTTGCTGCTTTTAGTCTCACCGCTCTTCAAACGACCTGCCCGGCATGGTAGGACCTTGAGGAAAGATTGTTCCAGCCAGTTTAGCTCGATTGAATCATCACGATAGGCAAGCCCGACCACCACGTCAAGGTAGCAGCAACGGTAGGGTTGTCATGGTTACTAAGACTTAAATATCTCATTAACACTATCATTTCTTTCATGTTTGATTCGTAGTTTTCGTTACTATCCTGTTTTGTGTTATACATATATATTTATAGGTTCCTCAATATCATAACAAAGTTGCGTTCCGAGTCAACTGATGTCAAGCATAAGGTGAGTTCAAGTTCCTTTTATTCGTTTCTTCTTTCTTAGCATACTGTTATTTCTTTTTTTAATTCTCATCTAAACGGCTCAGTGGTCTATCGGTTAAGGGCTCCGGTTCGAGACTGGTATGTCCTGGGTTCAAATCTCGCGAGTGCGGGATCGTGGATGCGCACCGCTGGGGAGTCCCATAATGGGACGAAACGGCCGTTCAGTGCTTCCAGGTTTTCGATGGTGGTCTAGCTTCAATTGCCCCATGATTTCAACTATGAAAAATAAACGTATTCAGTTAATATTTGAATTAAATTGCATTATTTTTATGTTAAGGACCGCAATTGATCTGTATCTTATTGGTATATCTGCATCCTGTGAGGATTGCCTCGATACTGACTTAATTTGCAAGCATTATAAGCAAAGATGGATGATGACTAGTGGTAGAACCCATGACGTGCGCTTCGTTCTATTTGGGGCTCATTTGCTGGAGGCACTTGCATTCCAGATTTGATGGTCACTCCAGGACTTGAACTCAATAGTGTTCGCTTCAAACGCCATCGCGTTGTCCACTTAGCTACTTAGTCTTGATATTCAATAGCTTGTGCTATGGGGTGAAGTTTAAATCCACTTTGTATTGTTCATTCGAATCTTCCCATTGATGTGTAGAACTGCAATTGATCAGTCTCTCATGGGCACATCAACTCTGGGATGCATATATATATATATATATATATATATATATATATATATATATATAAACTTTAAATCAATAAGACAATTTATCTTCTTTTTTTTATAAAAATACTTCTCATCTACCATCAAAACAAGTCTCCTGATTTTGTACATGATTGTCAAGGTGATCAAAAAACTGCTGACAATTACTTGTCTATTTTAAGATTACATATACAAGAAAGATTAGTTGCATTACTCTCCGATCCACATCCACATGTTCGTCTTGGTCTAATGAATACAAATGGTTTATCATGTTTAGCATCATTTTTTGGTCGATCCGGTACAAATGGCACACTGTTATCACATATGATCACATTTCTAAATGATAAAGTAAGTGTTAATATTATGATCTTTGTTTAATTTATTTTTAATTTATGTACATTATTTAATATAATACTTGCTGTGGCTCAAATAATATAAACGTTTCAGAATTGAATTGGCTTTTATTATGACTTATGACCCTGTCAAATGTCGTGTGACGAAACCACTAATCAGAGTATCGATTTCTGTGGCGCTGTCCTTGAATTAGCCAATGACACCCCAACCAGCACCAGTAACCATGGGTCAACTCTAAATTCTCATTGGTCCTCGATATAATTACATCTCGCCTTGGTCTCCTCGTTGAGTCCAGAACACAACAACCGGCCTCTGCTATATGAACATTCTATTTCAGACAAACTTATAAGTAAACTATACCGCATCACACCATAAAATGAAAAATAATAAATTATGCAAGATTAAGCTGAAAGTGGCTGTAAGTATAGAAAACTGTAAAGAATATATTGGCAATAAATTCAGAGTAGCACATCATATAATAGTAGTTAGTGGGTCAAACGAAAGCTTATAGTAAAAAGAATATAAATATATAAAATTTAGTTATTTAGTAGTTATACGAAAGGAATATATTTAATAATAGTCCATAGATTGAACCTGAGGGTTACCTTTCATTCTGCCTTCGCCGGACATAACAGCTATTGTTCGATTGTCAGTTTAAACGTTTTCACCAGTAAAGTCCATAGTCTATAACAATTTATCATTATTCGTTCTCATTGCTGTACAGTAATTTATTAAATTTTGGAAAATTATGGTAGCAAACTACATCACAGAGGTAGCATTGATTTATACTGATTAGAAACACTAGTCATGCATTAATTGTCCCTCATACCACATTGTAAATGAAATTGTCATTCTCGCTTTTAAAACTACAAGATTACGTATTGAAGTAACAAAATTCCACTTGGTCTGAATTTTGTAATCCTTGATTTTTTGACGGATTAAAGAACGGTACCCAATACTCAAGTTAAATTAATTGCCGTACATTAATTTGATTGTAGTGACTTAGTTTATCGATTACCTTGATAACCGTTATTATATAAATCCCAAAGGTGTTTGAAATCAGAGGGCAATAAGAAGCAGCGGCTACAGTTAATTATCGGATAGCACAGATAACAAAGTTATAAGCACATCGAGCGAATGCATATACTAATTCATAGCCAAATCGAACCAAGGCACAGCGAGGCAAGGGAAAAGGCTAATACTAGGGTTCGAGCATATATATATATATATACAGAGAGAGAGTGATTCATTGAGCGATATTTAGGCGATTAACATTTGAGCTAGAGAGAGATATGTGCGTAGGCTATCACGTAATCACGCGTACACGTTTATATAGCCATGATAGTGATCATAATAATGCAAGGAAGATGAAGTGTTACTGTTCGAATAACATTGTCTATTAAATAAGTTAATAAAAGGGCTCGACAAAAGTTAACCATAATCGAATTTGATCGTAGGAGATTCGTCATAAGATTTATGGATCTGTAATTGCATTTCAAAACAGTGATTTTACACTTTAATTTGTTTTATTCTTCTATATTAACTGTAAACAAAATATCCTGGCAAATGAATGAAATCAAATGTTCAATGTTAATGTAATTAGTGTTAATTTACACATCTAAACATCCACAGTAAGAGTGGTCGGGATGTGGTGATGGTTCCATCACTCAGCTTCGTCTTGTCTACAACTAAATCCATTCTTTATTCCGTTTTTTTTACTTTACTTTTTAAGCTGTAATTCTCCTTTATCCTCATTTCCTTACCCATGTAAAACCGCTCATAGAAATTCAACCGAACAACATTTTATCTCTGCATTCCCAAAATCATTCTTCATGTTAGATGTTAAAGCTCATCCATAATACTCATAAATAATTACCGATGTTATAAACACCTGTATTCATACATCATTATAAACGGTGAGGTGATTCCATTTATCGTTGTAAGGTCAGCAGAAAAAAGATAATAAAATAATGAAGTTTTCTTCCAAAATAATTTGTGTTTCTTTCAATCATTTTTACAAATTTTCTTTTCAATAATATCATTTTCTTAAGTTGTACAGTCATATTTATAGGTAACTTTTTACACCTAATGGTTTAGTTAAATTTATTCAATTAATCTATGAAAGTGAAGTAGTGTTACATCATTGGATAAAAATATCAAAGATTACTAAGAAATAAAGTCATGTAATAGTTTCAGAAGTAATGAGAAGTAATAGTTTATGGAATAAATCCAAAAGACTACTATCTAATAAGTCTTGTTGATTTAACGCTATACTCGGATCCTAAGCTAGTCTCGTAAACCCCCAACTAAAACTGCACAGCGACTTGAACAAGAGAGAAAAGGCGTAAAATATGCGATAAGCACTTTACTCCAAAGGTTCATTCATGTACAGAAAATATAGAGTTTTTATAGTATTTTAGAAGTCTTTGGGTTTTCGTGAGAATTCTGGAATGCTTGTAAACATAGTAGCAGTGTAATAATCAGCCAATCAGAAACTCTACATGTGACTTTTCATTTTCGTGATGTTTCTAGCGAAACTTCTAGTCAAATGCTGATTGGATAAAATGTTTCTTAATGTTTCCTGAACTTGTCATGTCTATTGCGAGAAATTTTCTAGATCACCCCAACACTGTCTTATTGACAAAGGAGAAAAAAAGTGAAGAACAAGAATATAATTAGCACTCAAGTTTTATAAAATTAGAAGGAGTGCTAAAACAGTGGAAGAATAATTTATTAGACATGACTGTTTTGTACAGAGGTCTGATTTAAAATAATAAATTGCTAGAGCCTAACGCGGACATAAATTCGAGTTATGCCTTACGGTCGAAGTTTGCCATGTGTTTACGGATTGAGCTATCGATTGATTTGCGTTCCCTTCGAAGTAGTGCTCGGATATTCGTTTACCAAGTGCAGTATTTGTACGGCCAATACAGCCTGCTCCACGAAAGCAAGTAAACTGACTGTTTCCTCTAGTTTAAATTTTATCAAATAAGCACCCCCAAGCCTTTGATTTTATTTGAGAATGAAATCAGAATCGTCAATTCTTTTATCAATTAAATTTTTATTTTTATTTAATTTTATTTAAACACACAAATATTGGTACAAGGAAACACCAGATAAATATGCGCCTCACAAATCTCATTCGATTTGTGTGAGGGCTGTGATACTGCTCAGGTGCCCAGACTGAAGCAGGTGGTTTTATTAGGGGGCCACACCCGGAGCCCTTGACCTGAATGTCTGATCCACAAGGCAGTGGAGCATCGTGAGGAGATGCAGTCCCATGGTAGCCGTTGACCAATGACAGGTTCGTCCGCCATTCGTTCCATCAGGATACTGGAGCCCATGTGCACCATTGGTTTGGAATCAGGGTTTTCCAACTCCCCTAGGTGGACCCTCCGTGTCCACCAACCCGGTTAAAGCGCCGGACATTCGCTTTTCGTCCTCTCACTTTCGTAAACAACACCCCCGCCACGAGAAGGCAGTGAGTAGGACTTCCCTGGCAGAGGCTATATATTCGCTGGCCATATGAGAGTATTTCGAGAGGGAGAGGTGACTCTCCCCACTCTCGTCCGTACCAGGGCATTTGGGGGCCAATTAAATTACCCAATGGCCTCTTTTATCCCCTCCCTAAGAATGTTACTAATCTCATATTTTTGAGGTTTTTTTGAAAGTTGAGTTATACACATCTTACTCTGTATAAAGAATCTTGAAAGTTAGCTTTTTAGTTTTTGTGTTTTTTTCCAGTAGTATGTTGTAATTATAAAGCGTTTCCTTATTATAATGTATGCTGTCTTTTTCATATTTAAAGTGTAAACCTGAATTACGAGCTGCATTTTTTCGACAAGTTTCTCCTTTGGCAACATTGACTGGAGCACAGTTTGTTACGATTCTTCGATCATTACTCGAACAAGGCTTAATAGATCCTGACGATATGGTTATTGAAGAGTGTTTACACTGTCTAACTAATCTTTTACGAAGACGATTGCTCAGTGCACCCATCGCAGTTTCATTCTTGACTCGCGCTTTAGCATTAACCGCACATCCATGTTTACGAATTCGTCAAGGATCTGTGGCCTATATTACATCTTTTGCTCGACTAGCTGTTAACTTTGCTGAAAAGTCTCAATCACGAGTTCTAACTGAAGATGAAGACACTGTACCTATGGTACATCATTTTTGGCCAGGTATTTGTAGTCCTGCAAGTGTTTATGCTCGTTTAGTTAATATTGAAGTTAAGAAGACTATTTTCCGGTAAGTCCTAGTATCCAGAAATATAATAGTTTTTGAGGTTGATTTATTTTGTAATCTATGACATTTTATGTTAACATTTATCAATTAAATTCTTTCGGAATATTTCTTTTGTTTATGTGATGAGAGTTCTCTCAAGTAGCTTTTCTTTCATCAGTTAGTCATTTTAAATGATTAAGTGTTCAATGTATTCTATTATGTGCCTTAGAAACATTTCTGACTTATGGTGTACGCACCAAGTGAGGACCACTGTGGTTATTCCCAAGATACTAGATAGAAATGATAAATGATTAGGGTAAGTCTGATAACCTTTACTGACCTATCGGGTTAAGACCTTTGCAGCAAATGTTTAGTCACCATTTTCTTTTATGTGCGGTTGCATAAGATTAGGTTGGAAGAAAGTTAGAAATAACTAATTGAAATACGGCATCAACTCAAAAAATTGTGGATGATCCATTTAAGCCATACTAACAGATGTAAAGCTCCTGGCTAAAGTCAACGTAGTGTTCGTAATTTATGGTTAGAGATGTTGATTTAATTGAGGAAGTTTTTCATTTCTTTTTCCATGTTCTTGACGAACTACTTTACTTTGAGTCACATGCTTTTTCTATATGAGGTTTGTTAATGATACTTGATCAATCAGACTAAATCAAATAGAATGGGTTTGTGTAGAATCAGATTAGTTTAATTACTAATCCCATTGCTTTGGAAATTCTGATGATTATCACATATACATGTTAAATATGAATTGCTCTTTAGTTACACTATAAATATATTCAGTATTTAATTTATGTAATTAAGCACTGTACATCAGTATGTATAATTTCACACTGTTATTTAACAAATTTGTGCATCAAGACGTACTGATACATCAAGCAAAATTTAGGTAAAGTTAAGTCCTGAACCTGTAGTCTGATTATATTGTTATCTCCAATCTATAACCTGCAGTGTTCACTGTATTCTTTCTCAGTGATTTAATATTAAAGAAAAATACTGCAGTTGATTCTTTAATTTAAGTGATTTAGAAGTTTCTCTCTTCACTTTTATATAATAAATGGTGAACGGATCTCAGTTCCAATCCAGAATAGTCATGTAAAGATTAGTTCCTTATTTATATGTGCATACAAAATACTTATATATTTTCTCACTTATTCCATTATTTGTTTCTTTGTCATTTTTTGGAATCGAATTTAGGCGACCTGTAAACTTTTGTTTTACAGATGATGCAGTCCTTTTGCATAGTTTACATCCACCAATTAGTCGAACTGTTCTAGAAGCTTTAGCATTTATGTCATATTCACCTAATTTAATGCCACAAATAACATCCAATGATTCCCAATCGTCCCGTTTAGATAGACTAAATCAAATATTGAAATTATTTCAAGAAAGAAAATCTTCACGTGCTGTAACACGAAGTGGTGAAACACCGTGTTATACTTCACCTAATGTAAGCTTTCTTTTTTCCTTGTGTGAATGTTGCTTAATTTTCTGCATTTGTTTTTATGAATTTCTTTTGTCATTAATTTCAATATAAATCATGTTTCCAGTTAATGTAAATACATTATCCTCATAATTTCTTGTATACGAAGTGATTACGTTGATAAATTTGCACAATGACTTGCAATAAATTGTACTGAACAAATTGAATTGGTGTTCATTGAGGGTCTTATAGATAGTAGTAGGAGATTCTACTCATCGTCTTTATGTGACTTATCGATAGATGGATGCAACATTGCAGAATCGTTCACAAATTGTACAATCTTTAAATGGTTATAACCTTTTAAGTGATAAGAGGATTAATGTAAAATAAGGTATGTTTAATTTGCAAAGGAATACATGAATATACAGCGTACAACTAGAGACAATGTAATAAGATCTTCGAGATAATTGATTCAATGTAATATTGGTCTATGTTGAGCTATCTTAATTGATATCTTGGATTACTAGTTTCTTTTAGCCCCCAAAGCCCTGGTACGGCCGAGAGTGGAGAGAGTCCGTTTTCCCTCTAGAAATGCTCTCACATGGTCACGCGTATATAGCCCCTGCCAGGGAAGTCCTACTCACTGCCGTCTTGTGGCGGGGGTGTTGTTTACGAAATTGAGAGGACGAAAAGCGAATGTCCGGCGCTTTAACCGGGTTGGTGGACGCGGAAAGTCCATCTAGGGGAGTTGGAAAACCTTGATTCCAAACTGATGGTGCACATTGGCTCCAGGATCCTAAGGAAACATATGGCGTATAAGCCAATCGTTGATCACCGGCTACCGTGGGACTGCATCTCCTCACGATGCTCCACTGCCTTGTGGGTTAGACCTTTAGGTCAAAGGCTCCGGGTGTGGCCCCCTAAGATAAACACCTGCTTCGGTTTGGGCACCTGGGCAGTATTACAGCCCTCACACGAATCAAATGGGGTTTTTGTGGCGTATATATATATATCTGGTGTTTCCTTGTACCAATATTTATGTGTTTAAACAAAAAAACATCATCTCAATGATTCGGTTAAGGAAACTTACAATTCTCCCAGGGCATAATACCAGAAAACATTATACAACACGAGATAAATCGACTCTAAATTTTTTTGTATATTTTCAGTTTGTTTAGGTTCACAACCAAAATGACTGATTTGTCTACGTTGTAAATAACTCTGGGCTTTCCCACACCACTATCCGTCTTATTTTCTTACCAATAACTTGTCATATTTTTATAACATTATACTTTTTCTTCAATTTCATTCTCTTTACCTCACAAGCATAAAGTTACTTGCTGCATTTGACCTTTTATAGATATTCCTTACAATTTTTCTCATTGATAAATTTAAACAAACCAAAAACACCGATTGACTGGTATGAATGCATTTGTTTCACGGACTCTCTTCAGTGGTTTAAAATAGAGAAATATAATAGTAATATTTTATTCAAAACCAATATACACACTTTATATTATATCTGGAGATTATTAAAAAATCACCAATAAATATGGAAGAATTATTTTTTTAAAAATATTCCTGTTATTGGTTACTTATAATGTTAACTAGTGTAAAAGTTTCAGAAGAAAAATTTTTAAAATATACAAAGACAACTTTCTAGAAAATAAAAACAGTGGTGTTATAATTCAATTTTGTATTGTTTGTTTGAATATTCCGATTGATGTGTAGGACTTCAGTTGATCTTCATCTTGTGCATGTTTGTAACTTAAGGTAATTTGCACAGGATGCACATATATCAATAAAAAACTGATCAATTGCAGCTCTAACATCAGTTAGAATATTCAAACAAACGATACAATAATGAATTAAAACTTCACCCCCATTGCACAAGCTAGTGGCTATCGGAACTTATAAGCTCAGTGGATAACGCGATGGCGTTTGAAGCAAATAGGACTGGAATCGAGTCCCGGATTGAACGTCAACTCTTGAGTGCAAGTACATCCAGCTGACGAGTCCCAAGTAGGACTAAACGCGTATCCTGGATTCCACTACTAGCCATCATTCATCTTTGTTCACTAATGTTAAAAGTTGTGTAATAAGCACTGTAAAATAAATAAATTGACAGAATGAGGTGAGTAAATCTTAAAAAATTTCAGTCAAGAATGAGGAAAGGGAATTTATAATTGAGAACACGAAATAAAATATTAATCAATCAATGGTATCACTAGTACAGATATGATTGATTCTATTGAATAATCCCTTCATTAATCGACGTTTGTAATGAATCGGGCAATGACTATGGAAATTAAGATATTCCCCTGTTTATATCGGCTTTCTATGATGATGGTTCTATCGAATTCCGATAATCTTCATCTTATTGCATTATCGAAATTTACTAAAGAGACTAATTGTTTTAAATATGATTGATTAATATTTTACTTCTCGTCAGTGTTTTTTTAACGAGTTAGTTTTCTATGGGATAGGGTCGCTAATCCCATACCAACCCTCCTCCTTTATCCGGGCTTGAGACCAGCAGAAACCCCAGAGGAGTTTCAAGCGGAATTGCTTACTTACTCTCACCCTTTCTCTTTCTCCTGGTGATCGACTGGATTATAAAGAAGTCAACATCTGGGGGAAGCACGGGATACAGTAGACATCTAGGATGTACCTGGACGACCTAGACTTCGCGGATAATCTGGCTCTTCGATCGCACACGCAACAACAAATGCTGGAGAAGACAACCAGTGTAGCAGTAGGTCTCAATATAAACAAAGGGAGAAGCAAGACTCTCCGATACAACAAAACATTCACCGCCCAAATCACACTTGACGGAGGAGCTTTGGATGATGTGAAAACCTTTACATATCTGGGCAGCATCATCGATGAACACTGTGGATCTGACGCAGATGTGATGGCGCGGGTTGACAAAACAAGAGCAGCATATTTACAACTGAAGAACATCTGGAACTCAAAAGAACTGTCAACCAACACGGAGATCAGATTTTTCAATACAGTTGTCAAGAGAGTTCTACTGTATGTGGTGGAAACGTGGAGCACTACGAAAGCCATTATCCGGAAGTTACAGGTGTTTATCACCAGTTGTCTATGCAAAATACTTCGAATCCGTTGGCCAGACACTATCAGCAACAAGCTACTGTGGGAGAGAAGAAACCAGATTTCAGCAGATGAAGAAATCAGGAAGAAGCGCTGGAAGTGGATAGGACACACATTGAGGAAAGCAGCCAAATGTGTCACAAGGCAAGCCCCCACATGGAATCCTGAAGGCCAAAAAAGAAGAGGAAGACCGAAAAACACATTACTCCGACAAATGGAGACAGATATGAAAAGAATGAACAAAAACTGGATAGAACTAAAAAAGGAAAGCCCGGGACAGAGTGAGTTGGAGAATGCTGGTTGGCGGCCTATGTTCCATTGGGGTTAACAGACTTAAGTGAGTAATAATTTATTTCGTGATCTCAATTATAAATTCCCTTTCCTCATTCTTGACTGAAATTTTTTAAGATTTACTCACCTCATTCTGTCAATTTATTTATTTTACAGTGCTTATTACACAACTTTTAACATTAGTGAACAAAGATGAATGATGGCTAGTAGTGGAATCCAGGATACGCGTTTAGTCCTACTTGGGACTCGTCAGCTGGATGTACCTGCACCCAACTCATTGAGGAGCACTACCTATTTCTACGAGCAGCAATATAATGTCATATTAGTGGAGTAACAGCTTTGGTTAAAATAATTAACCCTCACAAGTCAAATTGTCTTTTCTATTAAAAAAGCTGCAAGTTTGCGTGCATATATACATATCAGTAGTTGGGTTAGTGTTATGAGTTAGAGTTATCAGTTCATAAAATTTTCGCCACCAACTGACGTCAGTTATAATGCAAAAACGTTAGGTTTTGGTATTAGGAATCGAACAATATCTTGCCACCTCCCTGTTTACAAACTTAAGAAACTTAGGGTTGATATTTAAAGTAAGAGTAAGAACGCGAGAACATTATCTAGCTTCACTAAACACTCTTGATTACCCATCAAATACTTCAACACACAGTGCCTTAGAAGCTAGTATGATATGTAATATAGCTTATGTCCGATCTAATATTCATTTCCCAGCTGCATAATAAATATTTTGATTGACTTCAAGTATTTTAAGGACCAAATTTTGACAATTTTCACCCGGTTAATAATAACACACATTACCTATCACTGCATTTTAAATTGCTCACAAAATACATGTAGCGTTGTCTTAACTCTGATTTGTTAACTCAAGGTCATCAGTATATTATACATTTAGCATTATCATTGTGTTTTTAGGCTCTTATCAGTTTTGATTGTGACAATAGATGATGGGTTCTTTCGGTGATATTATGTTCTCAAAGTCAAATGGTCTCATTGTTTGTCTTTCGCTGTTGTTTTGGTCAACATCATCAGCATCTACTTACATATGAGGGTGATGCAGTCCGGAATGACCGTTAGGTCCTCACAATTAAGTCGTCTTGCTTAGAGAAGATGACATCAGGAAAATCATCCACCCAAACTGGAAATCTCCATCATTTCATAACAGACTGTTGTTTGGACAATAAAACCTACCTGGTTATATGAAAAACATTGTACATTTATGGGTCAATATCTATCATAGTGTGCTATATATATATATATATATATATATATATATATATAAAGCGGAAATGTGGTCTTCCCATAGCATTGTTTTTGAGACCACATAACATTCATTGTTCGTATTGTGATCTCGCCTTCTACATAGCTAACATTAAATTCACTTACCCTATTATTATAATTGTCATATGATGGATTTTCCACCCACATTCCTAAATCCCTTATAATAGCACAATTAAGTCAGATAAGTGGTCACTTATACCCGTATCATTTAGGCTCGTAGTTCATGTGACTATAAAGGTAAAATATCGAACCACTACATACCGCATTTAATCAATGAAAATAGGCATGTGACCAAAAGATTTTGTAAACCAAACCAGAATAACGGAGTCCTAGTTAACTGGCAGTAATTTTATGGACGACAGAATCATAAATCAATGGTCAACATGCCAAAAATAGCTTATGATTGGAAGAATATCAAAAACTAACCTTTTGATAAGTATTCATTAAAATTTTATAATCCGACTTTACCAAATTGTAGCCGCTCACGTTTCATATTTCCTTTTTTTTCTTTCTCTACAACCTTTGGACTTTATGTATAAAATCTTGTTATTAGAAGCTAAATTTCATATTATTTGGATTCTGAACCAATAAACTGTAGTCCTTCCGACTTGGTCAATTCTATATTTAAGTGCTTTTTTCCTTCTAACAACTTTTTTCTCACGTCATTTTTCAAAATCCCAAAGTTAATCATGACTTTATGTCAAACTTTCATCTTTGAATTTGGTAGTTAACTTCCAGCGTGAACTAAAATAATAATATTACAAATATATAATTTATTTATAACAATCTACCCAATGCTCAATTTATTCAAAATTATCAAATCAAGTCTTGGTAATGATACCTATAAAATAATAATTGTTTTATAGATCGATTTTGCTACGTTGTAGCGAACGAGAACATCAGTGGGGACAACCAAATGTATTTGAACATAAAATTACAGAATGTCCTAATAAGATCTGAAAACCATATAGTGGATACTTCATTTGCAAAATGTCAATCAATTGTCTCAGACTTGATTGCTCCTTCGTTTCTGCGACCAACCATTTCAGTTTCGACTGATGATATATACTACTTATATCTGTCGATATCAGGAGCACATACCACAGCGTTTTCTCATGCATAGTCTGTTCTTTATCACTTTCAATTTTTGTGGATATCGTGGGTTTTTTCACGTCTCCGTCTACATTATAATTGAAAAACTACTTATCCGTACTTTATTCATCTGTTAACAAATATTAATGTAATCTATTCGACTGATTTGTAAAGTGTCCTGTTATGTTAATGTTTACTTTAATTCTCGTTTATCGATTTTATTGTAATTATTAACTAGGAAAGAAGATTCTATTTGTATACATCAGTCAATAATACTTGATATAACTTAATTTATACTTACTCAGCTACGTGAAACTTGGATGCCTGAAATTCATTTCTGCGGTCATAATTTGAATTCCATCCCGAAAAAAACAATTTATATATATATATATATATATATATTCGAGTGTTATTATTATTATTCAACACTCTTCTGATAAATCAAACTTCATCTGTAGTAATACTAATCACTCCCTGAGTAATTAAAAACGTTATTTTTATCTTGTTTCTAGTCCTGTTGGAGTTCTGTCAATTTAGTTGAGGTATACTTTTTAATTTTAAAGATTCGACACTGCGTGTGCTGTTTTCATTCTAAGTAGTTTGAGATAGTTGGCAGTGGTAATTTTTCTGACTTTGACATTAAGTGACATGTGTTAAAATGCTAAAGGGTTACATCAATCCCTTCAAGTATGAAAATACACCTTGATGTGATACAGATCAACTGATAAAGTTCAGAGCCTCCGGCTTTGAGTTGTCTAATTTCATCATTAGTCTCTACATAACAAGACCGGCGAACTTTTTGATAAATTAACAGGTGTTCAACGAGTTCTTGGTTCCAGTTTATGGTTTAATAACATTTTTATTATTTAATCAATGGATAATTTACTATAACTCAAAGGATCGTATGCGATTTTGTGCACGACGCTGTAAATTGTACATACTTTCTAGACCTCAATGATTAATAAATCAACTGTTACATTCTTTATGAGTATAATGAGATTTGAATAGATCTTTCTCAATCATTGTCAGCGTTAGTTCGATTTTTTTCTTCCGTCTTATCTCTTTGTTTTTCTTTCTACAGGATGAATTCATTGATTCATTAATTTTAAAACTCAAATCACTGGGCCTAACGGAATTAATGGAATCTCAGTTGGTAAATTTATCCAGTTATATTGTAAATTTATGCCAAAACGGTCGTCCTCAAAGCGCTTTCCATTCATCTAATCCGAAAATTAATCGTATTATTCCGAAATACCAAGTTTACCCCATTGAAAACCGAGATAAAATGTTTCTAAGTAAGTATCTCTATGTCTTAATATTATACATAAATGAAATTTTAATTTCGTCAACTGTTCACGTGAATGGAATACTTTATGTGATTATACCAGTTGGTGACTAGCAGTGATTTCCATAATGTGCACTTTGTTCTACTTAAAATCCATAAATAAAATGTATCTGTGTTTTCATATATCGTTACTCTCATTGGGATTGAAAACACCAGTTCTTTAAATATCAAATCGTTACGTACTAAGTTAATGGACTACGATAAACATCAGTAGTGTTGAATTGGTTTCTTCACCTATTGAATATCTGCAAAAAAGATGATTTTAATGTATGATTTATACTGTGTAATTTTAGTTCAGGTCGTTGACATAAAGAAAAAGTAATTGAATTGTCAGAATTCTGCTTAATTGTCTGGTATTTCAGTGTTCGGGTTTCTGATCAATCTTTACTTGGTAATTCCGTCGTCGCTGTTGGCATATATTTGGATTACCTTTCATCTTCAATATTATGGTCGTTCATCACTTCCTTCATATATTGATTGTTGGAGTTTATTTGATTCCATTCGCCAATATATTAATTAATCTGTATCTAATATCTGAGACCTCTTTCTCTAATGATTGTCCATATACGTTAAAATAACAATAAGACATACCTTGATGTTTGTTTAAACATATGAAAAGAAAGCTATCACTTTGTTCTATATAGTGTTTGGTTTAACAATTGTGTTCAATATTTGTTGTTTTATCGTTGAATTCTTTGTTTTGTACAATATCATACAATAAGAGGATTATGGAAATCTGAATTACACTAATCTTGAGGGAGTTTTCTACTTAGTCTAGTTGTGATTGATAGTCTTTCCGTTTCTAGGGTAGGGATTTTATTGCTAATCAGAAATCCGAAAAATACTATATTTGGATATTTTTCAGTCCTTGGTATAATATATGACGAAGAATGTCAGTTTTCTCTAAATTGCAAGTAGGCCTTAGTGATGAGTGTCAACTAACACAAAGCTTTGATACATAGATGCATATCAATTGACTGTAACTACTCAACATTAAACGAAATGTGCTGCAAAGTCGAATCATTTACCTCAGTGGCTACATTTCAAACTGAGCTGTAGAATTCGATTACCACTGAGGTCCAGACAACATGACATTGATTACATTACCTAGTGAGTGGATTTTGCCAAACATCACAGTTTTACAGGTCAATCGGGGTCTGACGAGTTTACTTTATATTTTATTATCACTATGAATGTATGTTTCTAATAGTTGTGCTTTTCCATTTCTTTTTTGTAATTTAGGCTCGCAACCTAGAAATGCTCAGTGTATTAATCCGAAAGATTTTCTAGAAGATCCTTCTCATTTACAATGGTAATTAAGTTTTTTGTCTTTTTTGTCATTTCGAAGCTTTAAATTGTTAGTCTTTATTTTTAGATTGATTTCGGTTTATATTCTAAGTGGCAGGCATGCTTGATATCAGATCTGAGTAAGCCTCATAAGCACATGTCATTTTCACGTCGTTTTACGCAAAATATTAACAGTGCTTTACGTACCCCAAAGCTAACGTCTGGTGATTTCATTACTTGTCATCTTTTCCGAGTACATTGAGTGAATTTTTACAATAGATGTCAAAGTAATGATTAATGTTTATTAATACCTATAATTTACTACGAATTTTGACTGTAAGGATTTGAATATTGACCTTTTTGATGTTATGGACTACAATTGATTAGTTTCTTTGGCTGTTATGTGTCCTGATTAGATTGGCTTAATACTACTGTCAATTCACGAGCACTTTTAAGCAGAGCTTGATAGTTACTGGAAGTGGAATTCAGGTCACTCGTTTATTTTATTTGGAACCCTTCGAGTAGATGTAATGACACCTCAGTGCTAATGTTTACACTGAGGCTCGAACCAAGTTCCTTTCACTCTAAACATTATGTTCTCTATAATTACAGTTTAACCATATTTCCTTCATTTAATGTCATTTCCTTTCTTATTTTCATGTTCTAGGCTATTAAGTTCACCAGTGAAACGTTATGCAAATCTCTTACGGGAACGTTTACTTTCTGGTCGTCTTTCATTACACTTTGATTCTGGAAAAAAAATTATTGTCGGACGTAGTTTATTCTTATCTCCACTGTCAACATTACTTAACACTGGTGGAGATAATTCTTCGTATGCATCGGCCAATACATCGAATACAAATTTAACGAAAATGGGAACGATTGGTACACTAGTATATGGTGAAGTAATATCATCATCGTTTGCTGAAATGATGAATCCATTGTTTGGTATTCGATCAACTCCGAAAAGTATGTTTGAAGTACAAAGTGAAATGCCTATTTGGCCAGAATCACGTCCTCGAGGTGTTATGTTAGCAAATCTACAAGAGCATCGTGCGGGAATGATCAGGTAATTACTACGAGATTGCCTTCAGCTGTCTTAAATAAGTAAGACTCGTTTATTTAGAGTATGAACTCCCGGTGCACTTTAAAACAAGCACGTCTATCATACTATTATCACTTCCACATAATGTCACTAACACTGAGTCCCTTAACACATACCATACGCACTAGCGCTTGATTTCCTCCTATTTTTTCTGGTCTGTTTTAAGTTTCCCGATTAGAACACCGGGAAAGCCATCAAAGTGCCATGTATCATTCAGACCTAAAAACTCACTTGATTATATACATAAAATACAATACTTCGACTAGCGATGAATAATAAATCCTTGCACAACCAAGTGGCTATCAGGACTCAGTGGCCGAGTGGATAACGCGATGGCGTTTGAAGCGAGGGTACTGGGTTCGAGCCCCAGAGTGGACATCAACCCCGAGATGCACGTATATCCAGCTGACGAGTCCCAAATAGGACGAAACGTGCGTCCTGGATTACACTGCTAGCCACTATCCATCTCTGCTTACAATAGTCTTTATACTTTATAGGCACTAATTTGTAGTAGTCTTTGTTTCAGTGAATAAACTTCTTTATTCTCTGGACCGCTTTTTCCTGCCTATCTACTATCAGCTTAATGTGCTTTCTTGATACTTCATATTGTTTTCGATGCCATCTAATAACCTATAACTAGCGATGTACTCAAACATCCAGCTAATTTACATTTCTATATCCTACGACTTTTAAAGCACGTTTCGCCTTAGATTAATTAGTTGAGGGGGTGTTTGTTAGCGCTTGTCGGCAAGACATTTTCGTGATTTTCAGGGAACTCGCGCTTCCTCAGTGATCCCAATTTTCGTCATTCACTGCAACAGTTGGAAATATGATTATTGACGCATTCTAGTTTTACCTAACATGTTGTAGGACCGGAATTTTTACAATAACCAGCCATTGAGTAGTAATCACTGTCGTATTGGTTGGAATATGCCGATAATGTTTCAATATGGTGGCTGAGGTAAGTTCATTATCTAGCTCCACTGTTTACTCGCTTACTGAGAATCCTCTGTTTACACTTCATCTGAAACGCAATTTTTGTGATAAGTTATGTTGAGTTAATTCTTAAAGCTTTATGTACTAATCTGTTTCACTTTTTAATGAGACATTATGCTTTTATGGAGCAATTGATTGCTCTGGGATAAGAGAATAACTTACGTTACTATATGTTTAGCTTTTTTACTCACTAGACTATCTGATTTTAAAAATGTTGGGCATTGAAATTTGGTTTAAATAATTGAAAGGTTAATGTGCTAGAAATCTCTTGTTTAATTATATGATGCCCCATTGATTTAGAGTGTAGAAAAGTCCCAGAATCAAACAAGAGAATTGTCAAGTACCACTCGATTTTTAAGCACTGTTCCTATATTGCTTACATGTAGTATGATCTACACCTACAATCTTCACCATTCTAATCATTATTAACTCCTTGATATATCTGTACAGAAATTCATATCCTTCATTTTTACAGTTTAGCAACTCATAGTTCTGGTAGACTATTTGCATCATGCTCTAGTGGGGATGGTTTGGTAAAATTATGGAATTGTGGATTCTGGCCTACTGAATCTGATGGTTATGTAGACCAGTCAACTACCGGTAATCATTCTAGTCGTGTTAATAGTGCAACATCTGAACTAGTCCAAAAATCATCTAATTTAAAAAATCCAGAACTTGGGTTAGCTTATTGTTTACCTACACGATCATCTTGGACATTTAATTGTAGTGAACAGGACTCAACCGATTCATCTATTAAAATATGTCGAGTAAGTATGAATTTTTATGTTTTGCAGGCTATTTTTCATTCCACAACTGAGTAATTAAATGATAAAAACATCTCCACTGGATCGATTATTTCATTATAATTATAGAACCTTGATGAGGGTCATAAATTTAACTTCTAGTGAGGTAGGTTGTAGATGTGCGTTGCTGCGAATTTCCATAATACCCAATATCTATTCAGTGCTTCCTAGTTTTCAGCGATTGTCTATCCAAAGTTACTACATGAGGTAAACTAAGAATTCCATGAAATTTCTGTACCAATCATAAATTATTACGTATTTTGTAGTTTTTCTTGGTTATATGTAAGTCATACTAATAACTTCTGATTTTTTATACCAAAACTAACCTCATAGCAAAATTCTAATCATTTTTGTCAGTTTTCAAGATTCATACAATGGTTGTCGGTCTTAGGAGCAGGCTAGTACGTTACGATCTTATCTGTTTATTTATTTAAACACATGAAGATTGGTACGAAGGAGCACCAAAATATATATATGCTCCATATAAAGTAGTTATCATTCAGTTTGCGTGTGAGCTGGGATATTACCTGGGTGCCCGAATCGAAACAGGTGATTCTCTTAGGAGGGGCCACTTATCGAGCCTTTGGTCTAGGGATTTAATCCACAAAGCAATGGAGCAACGTTGGGAGATGCTACTCCATGATAGCCGGTACCCAAGACTAGGTTCATGCACCTTTTTTTCTCTCAAGATGCTGGAGTTCATGTGCACCACTGATTTGGAATCGGGGTTTTCCAACTCCCCTAGGTGGACGCGCCGTGTCCATCAACCCGGTTAAAGCGCCGGACATTCGCTTTCCGTCCTCTCAATTTCGTAAACTACACCCTCACCACGAGAAGGCAGTGATTAGTACTCTCCTGGCAGGGTCTATATACACGTTTCGAGAAAAAATTGGACTCTCCCCACCATTTTCCATAGCAGGGTATTTGGGAGATCATTTTTTTAAAATTCAATGTCAACAGAGATGAACATGCTTAGTATTACACGAATAATTTTAAAAGCATTATCAGCATTCTTTTTTTTCTTGAAATCTGCTTAATAAAGTTTCACCTTGTTGTACCATAATTTACGCATAACATTTAACGTATTTAAATGCAAGGCAATTAAACTGTTTTAAGCAACAAAAAAAGTCTACGAAAATATCGTAAAAAGGATTAAAAATTCCAAACATTCAAATTGCAATATGATATAATGTTTTGAATGGATTTATTTTCTTTAAAAGTGCTTCTCTGCACTAGATCTCATAGAAAACAAATTATTTTATTTTCTAGAGTCTTGTTTGGACATCGAATGGATCTTGTTTAGTCACCATACTTAATGGAAAATGGTTACAACAAATTGATGTAGCTACTGGACAATCTAATGGACTAAGTCAATTGAAAATAAATAATTCTGGTCGTGCTGTATGTTTAAAAACATCAACATGTTGTCATTTTCCTTCTCAGTATAATTTAATAAATCAAGTTATGATCGGTGGAAGTGATACTAATTCAATTGCTTATTCTACAACTAGTAATCAAATCGTTGCACGTGATTTACGTGTGCCAAACTCAAGTTCACCTGTATGGATTTTAAAACAAGACAGAAGTCATGGTAGGAAAATAAACTGTAGTGTGAATAAAATATTTTTTAAAAGCTGTAAAATTCCGTGAAAACATTGATAGATAATTAAAACAACATTTTAAGCTATCCATCTTTATACTGTTTTAATTTATTCCCTAGATAATATCATTTTCCCATCTATTAGGGCTATGTAACAAACATGTCGAATTCCTGTTGCTCAGTTGGGTCGCTTACACATCTAACTATTAGTCATTAGGTTACAATTCCTAATCTAATTATCAACTTTTTCGTATTAAACTGACATTGTTTAACTCAGTCAAGTTGGATCAAACGTAATTGTACTTGATTACTGAAATAGATTTTTTTCTGATAAACGTCGTTGGTGTTAATTGAATTTTACACCACTTATTCTATAAAAGTATCGTTAGTAATCTCATATGACACGAATTTTATTTAATGAAAGTTAAGATTTTGCCAGTGACGTAAGTTTAAGGCAGGCTCAATGATAAAATCACCATATAACTTCACATCGCGAAGATGTCTTTTACGTATCTGTCCCAATTAAAATGAGCTTTCTAGTCAGTATAAATGCATCTCGAGGACTATACTGATGACGTTTAAATAAAACAATTAAAATTTCACAATTAAAGTACTCTGACTCAGAGAACACACTGACTTCAAAATCATTCACTTGAGTTATGATAATATACAGGATTATCACACGTTTGTTCTGAATTCATCTTCGGTCATATATTGGTTGACGTATTTTAGTTGTTTCCTATTGTACTGTATTACATGAGGATAAGCTTGTAACGAGCTTCATCGATTTATGTACACTTACTAAAAGAAAGGCGTGTCAAATAAATAAGTCATTATAACCCCATCCATTGATTACATAATATTAGCCCAGACATTTGATCATCTATCTACATCTCTATATGTATACTCGTATTTGTTTATCTCATTATTTATCGGTATTTTATACATTACTTACTTTATGTGTTGTCAAAATTATGCTTGATTAAGTTTGACTGTTACCAGTCCCATCCGCGTGTGCTTGTCTTCTAGATTGGTTTATCTGGTTAAACGATTGCCTGCAATGTGATTTTTCTAATACTATATCATACTGGAATTTCGAACTTGCATCTCGTAAACGTAATAAGCCATTGAATATGTACGAATTTAAACAAGGATATATATGTCCGAGACCAACTGAAGATGAAGTCAGTTGTTTTTTCTGTCAAGCTTTGTTTTCACCTTGCCGCATAACATTGGAACTAATTGGTCAATGTGAAATGTAAACTTCCTCTAGTTAGTCTTTTTTACTTGCATTCCTGTCACTGTGATAAGGCAGTATTACTCGAAATTTCGGTCCCTGGGTTCGAACCCCGTTTGTTCCCACTTCTGTGAAAATCTATAAACTCTGTAAAAGTAAGTACGTTCAATTTTCGTACTCTCCAAAAGGAAAATTTTCCAACTAGTACACTTGGATGATGGTTTAATAGTGGAGCCATAGTTTGACTTCGAACCACTGGGGTTCTCATTCTGGTATACTTATTTTCCTGTCTACCGTATGGAAGACAATCCATCATCAACTCTTACACTATAGGAACGACTCAAATATAATTACAGATCCTCTGTACTTGGTTAGTAAGTAGGATTATAAATTTAGGTAAATGAGACAGGAAATTCTGGTAATTTATTCAGTTCGAGTTGCCATACCACATTAGCACAGAGATGCAGTTGTCGATTCAAATCCCATAGTGGTAGAGGTAGTAAAAGTATAAGCAGTAATCGGAAAGATTAGGGTTTGAAGATGTTATTGAAGGAGTATAATCCAGTGAAATAAATTTGGAAAGAGAAAAAAGATGGAGACATGAAGAATCCAGAAGATTAGAATTTGGTAGAACACAAACGATTTTGAGCCGTCATTCAAGGTCTCTAACCATCGATTGCTATCATCTCGCGGATCCCAACCAGGTAGTCTACACCTGCCAACATGGCTCAGTCCACTTGTTTATGACTTCATGGATTTGTGCCACGTTTTGGTCTGGCCGCCTATAGCTTTCTTCCAACCTACTCCTACACCATAAATTCTGGTAATGTCGAAGTAGAAGCTATTGGTCGAAATTAATTGCTTGAAGTTAATAGGAATATATTGCCATACTTTCATAAGTTGAGTCCTCTCGTAATTCTTTTGATATATTATTAATTAACAAATATTTTTCGCCGCTTATTTAGGTTTAATACTTTCGATGGCAGTACACAGTTTTCATACATGGCTTGTTACAGGAACTAGTCGTGGACATCTTATATGTTGGGATTTAAGATATAAACGTCAAATAGCTTATACAGAACATCCATACCAACCAGGTATAGGTATTTTAGATTTGCAAATAGCTGAAACCCATTCTCGGTTTGAACTGGATAAAAAGTATGCTGGTCAATCATCCGAAAAACCATATCAAGTAGGACAAACTTTGGTAAGTTGTTAATTTCATTTAATATCCTGCATTATGAATGAAATATGACACATGATAAAAAGTAAGAAGTGTTACATAGCGCGAGCTATCTATTTGACCATTGTTGTGCTATATTAGGTCTGTGCACGGATGGTGTCATGTTGTATTCGTATTCAACTGAAAGAGACCTACGTTAAGATAAAATTACAGGGCTCTGATTTTGGGATGAACTATAAATTTACCATGTTTTTTGTAACATGACGGTGTTATTAGGTCGAAAAATCTTTAACAAAGACATATTTCCCATAAATTTTGAGCAGTGAGAACTTATACTAAATATTTTTGAAATATTGTTCAGAGTACTCAGAAGACTGAAATTTTGTCAGATTTCCCCATCAAGCAGAACTATATGATCCACGTACTCCAACTTGATGATTGGATCTCTAGGTAGGTGGTCGATTACTGGAAATTGAAATCTAGAAAATGTTATTTCTGAAGGGACGTCTTTCGAACACCGTTTGATATTACTAATTTATATTACTGTTTGGCATTATCGCTGATTCGATTAATAATGTTCCAACGTAGAGCTTTCAGATGTAAAACAATCTTGACACTCATTCCACTTATGTACACTACCACAAGACTTCTTGGTCGACAGTGTCGCATTTGGGCTAAGTAATATGACTGCAGTTGAGCGTCGGTATGCATACCTGTTTTAGGATTTTGTCAATCTAAAGACTTAACCAACAAATCTACGTCCAAATCCGAAACTCTTAATTGGGACCCATTAGATAGAATTACATCCTACTCAGTCAGTTTAAGTGATAATATTGGATCATCATACTTCGAGACCTCTGGAATGTTAGCTTAGGAAGTCATACTGTTCTCTCGCTCGTTTAGAATTATTGTTTTCCCAAGATCTCTAAAAACCGGAGGTTCTTACGTATCGATGGGTAATGAATATTAACTATTTAGATTGTTAATTAAAGTGTGATTGGAATAACACCTTATTTTAGAGGCCTTATTGATTTTCTAGACGTTGGAGTTGCACGTCCACATATGACAATGAAGAATAAGACATAGGTCTTCTTGCCATAGATGAAGAGTAACTTATATTGTATAACGACGTCAAGTCAGTGTCCCGGACACCATTATTATTCTCAGCCAAAGGCAACGCCTATAGTCATCATAAAGCAACCAAATGGCTCACTGCAAATCTGTACAGACTTTTTTAACGGGATGGGATGCTGCTTCAGAACATTACTATACATTATGAGTTCCGGATAATCTATCTACTATTCTAAACAGTGGAAGCTATTTTGTAAAGTCAGACCTAACTAAGTTTTACCTAGAGATAGAGGTTGAGTCTTCATGCCGGGAATGAATGATAGTAAATACTCATCTGGATTTATTTCAGTATAATAAACTACCACTGGGAGTGAAGATGGGACTAGTGATTTCCCAACAACTAATGAACACTATTCTAACCGGGATTACAAGAGTAGTCTTATTTACAGTAACTTGTAACTTTTTATATTAGTCTTAAGTCTGACTTCTAAAAATTTATTTAATAGATTATTGCTGCAACCGATCATCATAATGAAGTGACAATTTGGGACTTGGAGTCCTCAGCCACAGCGTCATCATCTGCAGCCATTTCATCCTGTAATTATGGACTTCCCGGTTCTTTTGCACCAGTTCGCAGTACAGGATGTTTAGCTTCGACGTGGGCTCAACCAGGCACTAAAACACCCCTTATTCTTGATAGTTCCTTACCACATCGATCAGTCCGATCAATTTTGTGCCTTCCTAACAACAGTGTTATGCAGTTTAACGAATATAACAAACTCCATTCTCAAGTTACTCATTTGCCAGCTATAGTGGCCGGTGGTAATGATGCACGTTTACGGTATTGGAACTTCCGAAAACCAGAGGATTCGTGTGTTTTAGTTTGGGCTGGGATTGATGAAGCTGCCCCTCCTCGACTTACCTACCGGTAAATTGATTTTTGTCTTTTTATATTCAGTGACACGATGACATTCATCGAAATTGAGCGTATATCTAGAACGCTGATGTGGACATTAATGTTCATACATTCTACTAACAACGCTGAATGTATCTTCTGGGTTAACCAATCCGTCTGAATTTCGAAAAATTCGAAAATCAGCTCTATGAAAACATTTTTAGTTGATCGATTCTAATTTCGCTTTGTGTTAGACTGAACGTCATCCCACAACTTCAAGCAGAGAAGTAGCTACAAGTATGCTAAAAGTGTAATCTCGTCTCATTTGTTCTGAATGTTTTGCACCACAGTTCGTGAGATCTAAGTCATCGAAGCTTGGTTATGATATAGGGTTCCATACACTATGATGTAAGAACTGATCACTGAACCATAGTACTTTAATAGTATGCCACAGTTTACTTGAATAAAAGCCCATAAATTGGTTGAGTTGTTTACACGAGCTGAAATCTCTACATGGACATTCTACTTATAGTAATAACTAAACAAAGCCAGCACTGGTTTTGCGTATCGATATCATTCAATTCACTTGCGAACTTCTATTTCGCATTGTCGTACTGTTTAGCTAAAATTATAAACTGATGATTTAATAGTATCGAATACTACATCCGCTAGGCAATCAGTGTAACACTGGGGATCTATTGATGGAGGTGATAATTTGGTACGCATTAACTGTGGTTGATAATCACGAACCAAATGGCGATAGTATCGTGCTATTCGTCTTTAAAATGTTTTTACTGCCTGTGAAAACTAAGACAGAAAATGTGAATACTTTTGCAACAAAAAAGTATCCTGGGATTTTATCATCAATAATAGGATGTAAGCTATTTCACTAAAAAGTGACCTGAATGGTGTAAAAGTGTCATTTCATTGTTAGAATCAACATGAATCCTGAAACAAATATTCGTTAGCCCAAGTTGTCATACCGTACTATCACAAGATGATTAGTGACGAGTCACGTTATTGTAGTTTTACTGAGAAAAAATAAATAAATACTGCGAATTTGCTTCGAAAAACAGGATGTAAAGGTATGTATAAATGAATAATACTGGGACCAGAAATCCTGAGCAAGATGAAGAACTAGTGAGTCTGGATCACTGTGATCGGTTCTGAGCTATCTCAGCCAACGTGTCCAACCACGATGATTGCAGTTATTGTGTAGACCTTATCCAAGTAGTCCGCACCTACTAGCATGATTTAAACCAAGACTCATTGGATTTATGGACTGATGTCAGCGTTTTGATTTTCCCATCCTCCTAACCAAGATGACAAAATAATCTACCTTTTTCGACAAAAAAAGTTCCTACATAACTATATTTTCATTACCACACTAAAAGTGAACTAATATTACACAGATTTCTTCTAAAAAAGCCTTTTCGAAAATTGATCATTTTCCTTTATTATTATGATTGTTTATAGGTCAATATATGTAAATGATGTCAATGTTTTAATTGAACAAACTGATACTTCTTCCGTTAATGATACATCAAGTAGTTTGTTAACGAAAACAATGTACACAGAAGTATCACAAAAATTACAATCATCAAGTAATATAACAGAAGTATCAAATAGTGCATTCCCTGTATCAGGACGTTTAGAATTACGTGAATCAACCAAAGGACATAAGAATATTATATCTGATTTAACTGTTCTTCAAGCAGGTCAAGCATTTTTAGTCTCTGCTTCAATGGATGGTGTGATAAAAATTTGGCGATGATATATGCTAATCATAAATTTATCCATAAAGTATTTTTTTATCAATTGATTTCATTAATTTATTAACTATTATAGATTGTGATTATGATGATAATAGAACAAACTACTTGTACACTATTTTACTTTATATATTTATAACATAAATGAAACATACTTGCGAATTTTGTTTAAATGTTAGTTATCTAAATTTGAAGTTTGTCAAAACCTTAATTGTTTTTATTAAAGTTGAATTTTAAACACTAACTAGTCTAAGCGTTATTTTCGATTTTATTTTAACCGAAAAAGACAAAAAAACACCAAACTGTTACACATACAGCGCAATAGGATTATGATTCACAAAAACGATTTGTTTGTTTTTTCGAACTGAATAACAATATAAATAAACGTGTGAATTAAAAGAAAATGCTTACATACAAATTTGTACAAAATAAAGAAAATAAGATATCAAAGTGTGTTGTTTTTTTGCATTACCGCCTAAGTGCTAAAAGGATCATATAATCACTTGTTGTTGCCAAGTCTGAACTTAAGCAAGGTGCTGCTTGTTTTAATAAACTTAATGCAAAACTGCTTGGTGCAAATAAATATACTATTAAAGATGAACGTTGTGTTGTGATTGTTTTCTCGGAATTATTATCCAGTGATTCTTGTTGTATTTCTTCCTCCTTTGGGCAGATTATACCAGCTGATTGTTTTAATTTTAAATAAGCAATCAAAGCGTGTAGTGAGAAACAATCATTTATTGTTGATTTTACACTCGTAATTTCAGTGTTCGACTGATCATTCAGTTTAGATTCCTTGTGCAGATACTTATTAGTTTGCTCCGTATCGGGTAATATTAGCATGAGGCATAAGTTATGACGTGCTGTAGATAGTACATTATGAATACGATGCGTAGCTTCCGCCATCCATGAAGCATCAAGAGTGCCCCGGCGTGAAATACGTAAAGTTGGATTAGTTAGTTGTTCGGAATTACTGTTATTATCTTTATAATCCAGTAAATCTTGACTAATATCTTTATTACCGATTAACATCAAACAGCGAAAATAAAAATGGTTATTTTTCAATAAGAACTTTCCTTTCCATAAATCTGGTTGTAGACACTGGTCTAGTTCTTGAAGGGTGACGATCGATTTCAGGTTACGTGGAATATCTTCTACTGGACTGAGTATACTGTGGTTGTCCGAGTAGCGAGATGTGTTCCGATTATATGTGTGATATCGATTAGATATATGAAAAGGTGGTTTTACATAAGGTAAGTGTCGTACAGTAGTGAGATTTTTATCACCGACAGGATCTTCTATGTAATACTGGTTCGTCGTGTACGGTCCCCCATCAAAATGATCATTTGTTCGAATACGACAGTTATTTGCGGTTAGAGGAATTCCATTATCAGACCTAAATGTAGCATTTCGTGATTCTGACATTTGATTGTCCTGACAGTCACCTTCCATGTTAGAGTCCGTCTTGTTTAAAATCTGTGACTTTGGTTGGACTAATTCCGGGTTTATAAAATCTACACGAAGTCTTAAATTCGGACGACTAGTTGCTGAGGGACTTTTTAATTGTCTATTAGCTTCCAGTGCTGATTCACAGCTGTCATAAACGGCGATTGCATATTTACGTCTAGGAGACCAATCAAGATAAGTTAGTTGTCCAAAACGAGAGAGCATACGCTGTAGTGAATCAACGGAAGTCCACGATTCTAATCCACCAATATACAGACAGTGAGATGGGATCGCCTTACCATAACCTATTTTGCAATGTAGGGATCTAATAAAACGACCAGACATGGACATTTTCGCACGACTGGCCATATCAACATTCTGAAAGCGTACAAATGCATAAGAATGAGCACCAGGTTTCGGAGAACGCTTAATATCAATTTGTTCAACAAAACCATACCTCTCAAAAGCTGAGAGTACCTCTTTTTCCGTTATATCTGGTTCTAAACTTCCAACAAATAAAGTCCTTGTAGCTTTAGACTCTTTTTCTGAATCGGATGCTCCAGGAGAGAACCCACTTCTGTTATGTTCATAGTGTCGAAGGTTTGCAGAGCCATAACGATTGTGAGAAGTGATTGTATTTAACTGTGCTGGTGGCAACACCCCAGGGACAGCATTCAGACCAAGAGCCTTTGCAGCAGCAGCCATCATGGTGGAAGATGCCATTCCAGGCATACCAAGTAAGCTTGTAGTACCTGATGGACCTAGTGGAGTTGGTTTAGGTAAAAAATCGGGGAAAGTGGACTCTACTTTGCCGGGGATATTGTGCATAAGATGTCGTCGGTCATTAATATCTTCAGCTTCCATTCCTTCTTGACGTTTTTTACTGGCAATTACTTTACGCGTATCACCCTCATTAGAAATATCAATTAATGAGGTAACATTTGCAGGGCGATCAAGTATGTAAATTATTGGGCTATCACAGAGCGCTTCTTGTGCGTCTTCAGAATATCTGAAGATGAAGAGTTAATAATACATGACACAGGAAAGTAGCGATAACAATTTTAATAACGATAAGCTAATAGAAATTAATTATATCTATTCTGGGACGTTATGTGAAGCGTAATTTATGTTATGCATGAGTTCGATGTATACTCCGAGTCTTATGCTGAGAATCATTTATTGAATAATTGAAATCCTTATTTACATCAGTCCACATGTGACCCGTAAGGATAACAATGCAAACAGGAATATTAAAGAGATTATGTTTGTTTTTTTTCTTCTGTACGTTTACATATATGGTTAGTTAGCACAAACCTTATTGAATCTTAAACCTTTAGGCATTACACACATTATATTTTATAATTATGGTTTATTTAGCAAACGGTTGTTCTGAAGCTTCGTACCACGATTGTTTGCAGTCGTAACTGTAGTACAACCAGTGGAATTACCCTATAATTTTAAAAGTACTTACACTAGTCATTCAACTCTTGAAATATAACTTGTATTAATATCCATTAGGTTACATTTTTAATAAAGTACAGGTTTTTATACTTATTTTAAATCACACTTCCTGTGTGGCGAATACGGGTAATACCTGGTTGTCCAAATTAAAGTAGCTGAAGCGTGGTCGAGATGAACAACCTAATGGCTGACTAATATAACATTTTACTTACCCCGGCTCGCAATCTACCACAAGCGATTTTGGTTGAAGTAGAATGCGATTGGAAAAAGATTAAAAGTAGGCAGAACAAGACACGATGGCTGCCTGTGGAATCACTGACTTTCGCTCTCAAACGTAAGGGGAGTGACAGAAACTAGTGGTTTCAGAGCTTAGGTGACAAACCACAAACCGTTTATAGTGGTCTAAATACTTTTACTCTTTGTCTCCTACATATTAAACACTTTAAGTCTAGATATTTTGCGATTTTGGTCCATATTTTTTGTGTAGGTATGTATTTCATTTTCTCCCTATTCGCTCTCTTAGTCACAAGTGGAATGATTTGTGTTTGTGAGGTTCTCCTCTCATGAGCAAGTCTATCTTGTTTGTTACAAAAGTAAGAGAAAACAAACTAGTAATGAAATCTCGGGATAAATCTGGGAAGTAGCTGATTTGTAACTACTTTATCTAATTATATTATCAGAGGGATATTCACTTTACCACTTAATACTTGATTCACAGCTAGTTTACAAATTCATTTGGCTAAGTCAATCAGAATGACGAGTCGAGTAACCGCTGTACAGTAGCCAATTTCATGACAAACTATCTCTATCCTGATTACGCACGAGTGGATAACACAGTAAGTTTGTTAGCCATCAAAGTATCTTAAAAGGAATCTGTAAAGTAGTAGCTTAATGTTTAAGGTGCTTGACTTTCAACCATTAAAAAGCTTGTTCTAGCTTCTGTTTATTTACTTCGATTTAGACAACTAGGTAGTATAACTACCGCTTACGCAACGGCATGGTTTAAAGCCAAATACATAAACGTGTGCCTCATAAATGAGTTTCAAATGAATTGATTTAAGAAATTTAATCAGCTCAACGTTTATCACTAAACTCATCATGGTTCAGTCCTAAAGCTAAATCAATTTTGCTAAAGATTCAAAAAAGTATAACAATACACCTACGTTATAAAAGGCTCCTTGGACCAATTTTACTGAAGTAGTACGGAAACGAAAAAAATACCGTCAAAAACAATGTAGATTCAGAATAATGTTTAAAAAAACCACTGTTTATGTGAATTAGTTAATGTGTACCTGAAAAACTTACTGATAGGTAACCAGAGCGACGCGTTCGCCACCCAAATGCCCAACATTAATAGAAAGATCTCCATACTTTCCTAGTTCCCGGTACATACATTGTTCAACAACATCGGCACTTAACTTAGATGAAATGTTTCTCACACATATAGTTCTGGAATGATCTAACCCATGAGTCCTTCCTTCTGAATTCTTTGGTCTTGAGGAGTGTCTATTTGAGAGAGAATACTTAGACCTCGAACTAGGAGAGTTTCGAGATACTGATCGATGTCTCTCTGAATATCCTGATCTATCTCTGTGTCGCTTCGACGGTGGCGAAAAGTCCTGATCTCCATGTCTTCGCATCGCACTAAGGCCTAAATCAGAACAGACACAGATAAGGGGTAAGTTAGAACACAGTGGCATAATTGATAAAAAAAATGAAGACACCTTACTACTTCAAGATAGCCAGTGAATTTATCCTGACCTTTGAAAAGCACTTAAATAACGAGTATATAATACGCATAAATTACAGCCTATAGTAGTTATCTGGATAGTAATGTGAGAGCCAACAAGACATATTCCAAAATAACGTTACTAATGAATGAGAGGCACGTCGCTACAGCCGTCACTGTAGGTTAATAATATGAAAAATTTATGACGTAGTCAAAATGACTACATGCTTTACCTATTACCATCTATCAAGAGTGGGGAAGCAGTAGAACTAGACAACATAACAGTTGAAGTACTGAAGTCAGACAAATTTACAGAAGCAAACAAAAATGTGAAGAGGAACATTAAAGTCGAAAACCAGAAATATGTGGAAGACCTAGCGAGGCACTAAAGCCAGACTTAGAGGTAACTTCAAACATGCTCCACATTCTATCTAGAAAGATTCGGGAAGAAGAACAAGTGCCAGCAGACTGAAATGAAGGATACTTTATAAAAATACCAAGAAATGGAGATTCCATAAAGTATGTGAACTACAGATGCACCACACTACCATCATTACCGGGAAAAAATTCAACGATATTGTACAACCGAATGAAAGATTCAGCATATACCCAGCTTCCAGATCAACAGTTTGAATTCTGTTTACAGTTCTAATAGAATATCCGTAAGGCAAATTAAATCCTACAGTATCTATTTCGAGTGAGTCTATTGATAAACTTTTGAGAATTCGTCTATTAAATGAGAAGCATTATTAAGGAACGGTAATAATACAGATAAATATCAATTCTGACCACGTGATTCATTTACCCCAAAAACAGTTCAGATACAGAATGTTTTTCCGGATTGCGCTAATTTTTACTTGATGAGTAGCCCCAGTAGTTAAATCCTCTGACAATATTAAACAGCAAAATAGTGAGTAATTTAATCATATGTGAGACATGTCGCCTAAGGACTGTTTAGGGTTGCTGTCAGACCCAAGAGTGCGTAAAGTAGGGTTAGGTTAGAGTTAGTAACCTTACTTCGTGAAAACTTCTGAAGAAACGATAATCAGAGGTAAACAATATAACTCTTCCCTGAGAGTTGTAAGGAATTTATGTAGAAGTTATGACTTCTCTTGTGCTGAAAGCTAGAAATCTTCGGAAGTCACAAGCCCGACCCTCCTTTTGATAACCAGAGCAATAATAAAAATAAGTACATGAAATGTCCAAAAATCGTGAGGCGCAGCGACGGCTTTTCAAGAAGTGATACAATTAGGATAAAATCTGGCTGTGTTTAGAATAGGCGACTCTTTGACTAAGTTGGACAAAAAAGACTGACTTCAAGAAAGAGGTTGTATTCCAATCACAAAGAAGGAAACGCGCCATTTGCAGTTGTTGTATTAATACAAATTCAACATAGATCTCAGCAACAAGTTCCAAGTTCTACAAGATCTACTAGAAGAGAAACCTCTATAGATAGCTCCCAAAACCGATTGAAAATGTAATAATCCTAGCATACCAGAGAGTTCTGGACCTCGAAATACACTAGCATAGAGAACAAATTTCTGTAGAAAAATTGGGTATAATGTGCAAGAAAATATAGTTTTACTTCGAGTCTAAAGACTCAGAGAATATATTTGAAACGTGAAATAAAGAGATAAAAATAAATGCTAGGATACAAGATTCAAAGGTAAGGATTAAATGTCCCTGCATTACAATGGCCTTTTCTGACCCAAGTCACGTAATGCAGAGCTGGATACAATCTTCCAATTTATTTTCTACGGTCACATATGTACCACTCTATATACTGTGAACTGGTGTACTCAAATACCCTGGTACGGCCGAGAATAGGGAGAGTCAGCACTCCCTCTCGAAATGCTCTCAGATGGCCACATGTATACAGCCACTGATAGGGAAGTCCTACTCGCTGCCTTCTATCAGCGAGGGTGTTGTTTGCGGAATGGAAAGAAAAGAGAATGTTCGGCGCATTAACCGGGTTGGTGGACACAGGGGGTCCATCTAGTGGAGTTGGAAAACCCTGATTCCAAACCAGTGGTGCACATGGGCTCCATGGTTTTGAGGCAAAAAGTGGCGTACGAACCTATTGTTGGTCACCAGCTACCATGAGACTGCATCTCTTGACGTTGCTCCACAGTCTTGTGGATTAGACCTGTAGGTCAAAAACTCGAGGTATGGTCACTTGCTTCGGTTTGTGCGACCGGGCAGTATCCCAGCCCTCACACGAATCGAACGATGAAGTGTGGTGTATATATATTTGGTGTCTTTTTGTACTAATGTTTGTGTTAAAATAAACAGACAAACAAAACGAATACTAGTTACTTTGAGTATATATCTTGTTTTATGAACTTAACCAGAATTCTGTAAGTTAATACGAAGTCTCAAAACTAAATTACAGACGCTGACTAATGCCTATCAGCAAAGCCAAGTGTGTCTGCTTGCACATTGGGGATACAAAGGTTAGTAGGTACAGCATAGGTGAAGAGTCTGTCCCCGCAGTCCGGTCTCACAATGGTCTTGTGGCGATAATGAATCATAATTTTAAAACTACGGCCTACTACAGTGTGGTAGCAGCTAAAGGTTTTACAACAATATAGGCTTTAAGACGGACATTTACCAAGTGAGATACTTATATGTTCACTACAGTATACAAAAACTCAATGACACCCAGAATTGGAAGGTGATTCGTATATCCTGAAAAAGTACAGATACCCTTGTAATTCCAGAACTCTAGTGTTCACCACACAAAGAACGTCTTGGTGAGCTAGACATCTTTACTCTGTATTACCCTAATCTTCCTATTTCGGGGGGAATCCTCAAAGTTTAACGGCCTTCCCCAAAGCTATGAATTAATGGATAGTTCGTACTTTATTAAACTTTAATAAACATTTGAATGCGTGACGAATCAGTCTTTTTTATCACGGCGACAGGTCGGTTCTCGTTATCAATTGTAGTTAAATGACTTTGACACTGCGTTTACTGTGCAAAGTTGACAGGAAAAAACGGAATGCATAATTAGAAATTTTTGCGTACCTATTAAATCGCCAGGCAATTGTGATATCTGCCGAAAATTGTGGATAAATATTGGGTTAAAATGACACATTTTAGAGGATTCCCCAGAAATTGTAGAAAACTTCGGGGTTTTGTCAGGAATGTCTACGGATTTCCTCAGTGTTATAAGATTCTGGGGAAATATTGGGGAGATCCACAAAGTTTTGGAGGAATATTGTGGTAAAACCCAAAATTTCCCCAAAATAGATGACATTTTTCTCAAAATAGGGAGCTTAGGACCTCATAAGATGCAATCTGATTTTCGTCGTGCCGGATCAGAACAACTCAGAGGAAATAACAGGAGAGTAAAAAAGCCGAAAACTAACAAAATGCCCGTGGTATATAAGTTTTCACGCCGTCATCAATTTTCGGAACCTGTTATCCGAAGTGTTGTTTGCCTGTTTAGTCGACTCATTCAGACAAAGACTAGACACCCTCAGAAACTTACCGGAGAAGTAGTGACATAGGCTGTAGAGGTTCTGTCTTCACTACACAAATCTGACACCTGCGAAACGACCTTCAGTTGCTCTAACCCGCTTTAACCGATCAATAAAATAACAAGAATGAGTAGACTCATGTATTGAAAAGAGTTAAAGATGTGATGATAAGTAATTTCAAAAACTTGACAGCTTGTAATCTCTCGGTATCGTTATTAACAGTTTTAGTCAGCAAATCAACAGCTGCTAACTCTCGGCTTAACATCATTAAGAATTAACCGCGAAGCTTGATTTCGACGTAACCACCTAGTGAGTCACACCATTCCTCCCCAACTGAAGTAGACCTAAAACATCCATAAATTTATTTCACGTTGGTGATCTATTAACTTGACATAGAGATGCTATTGAGAAAGGACTGTGGTATTTGCCCTTTGAGTATATTATTCTATTGATCGTTAAATTACGCATCAAGACTACTGTGTTCTAGTTAATTGAATTTATTTCAGCTAAAGTAATACCCGAAAGTACTGCCCTTTTTTCCAGAGAAGTCGATCGTATGTACATTTCCAGTACAAATACAAAAAAACTAGGGGCATTGGTATTTATTTTTCCTCGTTGAGTATACCTTCGAGTATTGTTTGTATCCATAGGTGTCAAGGTTTTTTTGTAACCAATGATGTCGACAGTTGTGAACCATCCTCTGTTTTTGTTTGTGTTTGGTGTCTATCACCTATCAAGCTTTAAAATACACTTTATCTAAAGATCAGTTTTCGCTGTGAGATCACAAAACAAATTTACGGAGCAAGTAAAACATCGTTGCGGCAGACCTGCATGCTATTTCTGTGTCGGTGATGGAAAGCAACGCGGCAACTGCAATAAGTAGTATCACAATATGTGTGCCGGACTCACACCGGCTGAATACAAAAAGTGTTGCAAGTCATTATCACGTTGGTTGTGCAAAGCGTGTTGTTCTACAAAGTCTGTGCTGATTCTAGAAACGACTGAGCTTCTGAAAATAACTAAAAAATTTCCCTCTGATAAACAGGCAGCAGTAGATAAGAAGAATTCGGCCTCGGAGGAAATAGAGAATGTTATCATGAAACCCATCTCTAGATTTGAGTGAGACCATTAAGGTGGACCCCGTCAGGGAAGCAGATAACAAACATACGGATGTAAACATTGTCACAAGTAAAAAAATAAAGCGTGCTGAGAAATAATTAATTATAGATAGTTCGAAGGTATGCAAATCTACGGTTTCACTTTCTGATTTACATCTCAATGCAAAACAAGCTTTGGGGTAGCCAAGTCCCAGCGGTGTATATGATGTGATCACGAGACAAACTAAAGTAGATGAGTGGCTCACAGTCACACCCAGGAAAAGAAAATTAAGAAAAGAGAGTGTGACGTCTGTGTTTGACGCTAAATTGAA